GGGTGGGTGAAGAGGGGGGGGGGGGGTTACACATGGAGGCCCCGTGGGCTCCAGCATCTTTTTAAGTGTTGGTAATAAAATGTAGCCACCACCTCCAGAACAACTCCTGGCCAATAGGAACCCATTGAACAAACTTTTATTTGTCCTCAGAAAATGCTTGAGCATCTCCTGTGCTGCTTCTTGCCTCAGTCCTCAACATGTGCAGGTAGGACTGACTTCTTGGAGGGGAATTTTCATCACCGTTGCTCCTTCTGCTCCTGTGAAATCACCGCTGTGCCTCGTTGCTGAGCCTGTCCGTCTCTCGTCACAGAGGGGATTGAAAGATGGCCTTCAGCCGCTCTGGTTCGACAAGGTAAATATCTCAGATAAGGTCTCTCTCATCAGCAAAAGTTGGTCTTCCAGCTTTTAAAGGCATTTCCATGATAATGAACACTCATTTCAAACTGTGTGCTCTGTAATAATGTCCTTAAAATCTTCATATGGAAGAAGTGAACATCTACATTTTCCAATATGCTTAAAACCTGCTTCAGACTCAGCTCCTTTATGCGTGCAATGAGATCTGTAGCTTAACAGAGATTAAAGAACACTGCTCGAGGCCTTTAATGTGGCCTGAACACGCACTCATGCTGCCTTTGAACATCAACTGGTACATTTTAACAAAGTAAAAGGGAAGAAAGCTCTTGAATTGGAAAAAAAACTTGGCATCCCATCTTTTCTTTTCAGAATCTTCATTTTAAAACAACTTGAATAGGTGAGATAAAATCGGATTACACCTTCAATATTATCACCTGAAGAGATTTTCCTTTTGCCTTATGCACATTTTCTGCAATTATCTAACTGAACATGACCAGAGTGAAACAACACAAGATTGCTTTAAACTACAAAGTGATCCATTTTGAGGTAATTGAGACAAACGAGAAAGCAAAAACCTTGCCAGAAATGTTGGCTCACTCTCAGCATCCTGGGAGCACTTCAGGGACATCACAACATGGGTGGCAGTGCAGGAAAACTCCCATCAAATGTTGATGAATGTCAGGGATTAAAGTAGATGACATGTCATTAACTAATTGACTGGGCTGATTGATGTGCTGACGGGACATTTACTGGAATATATCCGGGATTTTTTTTTTTCCCCCTGTTTGCAAGTGTTTTACTTCACCTTTGAACCGTGGAAGCATTCCATTTATCTGTGTGAAACCAGAGACAGGACCTTTAATCTCAGAGGATGTATCTTACACACTTTTATACTTACAGTAAAATGGGATTTAGATTTACGTTTGACAGCATTTAATCTTAGTATGGGGGTGGTATAATTTAAGAAGCTGTGCCGGAAGCTCAAAGCCTTCATTAAGACAGCTTTCAGCTTTATAATCCATCAGTTTTAAGATGGCTTTCATGTCATTATTTGCAGTAAAAAGAAAAAAAAACAACTCCTGAGGGTTGCTTCTCCACTGAAAGTTGCAAAAGTAGCAATCTATTTTTGCGAGGTCGTAGATGTAAAAGCCTAAATGTGAGGACAGATGCTCCCTGGAATTCCATGCTTTCCTCTTTAATGGTTTCAGGCTTTGTCTGCTTTAAGGTTGTCAAAATGAAAAGAAAAATGGTTGGGAACCACTTCTGCAGGCTAAGCAGAAGAAAAATACACTTTGGTGGGACTACATTTGATTATGGTCATATGACTATATTTAGTCAGGCACTGCTTTACAGGGGAAAAGACCCCTTACCTTACTGGGCGTAAACTACATGAGAACACTGATACCACCTTCACATTGTCTTTCAGATATTTGGTTAGAAAAGATGCTTTGAGATAAGCTGAGAACAAACTAAAATTCAAATTTCAGAAACCACCTTTTGCAGCAAACAGATTAGCTCTTATTTACTAGTCTATGTTTTTTTTTTATTTAAAAAATCGCTGATATTTAAAGTCTTCTTCTTTTCTGGCAGCGTTTTATTTCATGTTTACATTTCTGCGATTTTCTACTAATTGAAAATGTCTCATTAGTTGAAAATCGATCCAGTGTAGATCTGTGTTAGAAGTTAAGTTTCTGGTCTTTATTATGTTTCAGAGCTGAGTGCTAACTCATCACTCAGATTCAGTAAAGTTTCCCAGCTAGTCAACTAACAATTTCCATGCTAGAGAGTTATATGCTTTTCCCAATGCTTTCTTAAATATTGTGAGCAAACAATACATTATTAGCAATATTTTTTGTTTCCATTGGTCCACAATGATTTGTTTCCATTGGTCCACAGGTTTCATTGACTGATGAAAAATTTGTCCTGAGAATGGCATGGCTAGCTTGGCAGTCAAAGTTACATTTATAAACTTAATAAGGTGACCTATTCTTAAATACCTGTTCATAACGTCTGAAACTAGCCCAAGACAAATAGCTAAACTTAGAATAAAGGACACAGGAGGAACGCTAGGTGTTTCTATGTAGTTATGTAGTTTAGCAACAATCTATAACTTACACATATGATAAACAATGAGCTTTGAATCCAATACTCCCATCCGGCATCGTCAGCAGGACTTAATTGTAGTTTTCTCTACCAGCTAAAATAATAGCAACCACCTAAGCTTCAGGTGGTTTTTCTGTGTTTACATAATCTGTGTATGTTGGTTTCTATTCCAACAAGTTTAAATAATCCACACATAAACACTGTAACTTATTCACGTCATCATATTAGCATGCTATCTTTAACATATTCAAAAATAATTATAGGTTAAGGGTTCAATAAAGCTTTCCTCTTGTCTAATTTCACCACTGACATGTTGTTGCAAAAGACTAGACTGTTGATGGATTTGTGTGAAAGGCAGACAGCAAACCCCACTGAGGATTTGTAGATGCTCCTTTAACTTGAAGGGCATAATGTTAGAGCACAGTGCTTGTTCTTAAGAGACCTGGCTGCCTTAGCCATTAGTCATTTTTCTGACAGTGCACACACACACAAACACACACACACACACACACACACACACACACAGTCTCATTGAGCAAGAGAGTTCAGACACTGCAGATGGGCTACGCCCTCAGAAACACCTCCACCTCATTTTTTTCTCAGACTGAAGGGCTGCAATCTCTGCATTTGGACAAGACTCCTCTCAGTCACTATCAGTCATGGTGATGATGGATTTCAGATTGCTGTAAAAGAGTGCTAATGCTAGTGAAAGTGTGGACAAAATGTAGCACCGCTTTGACACTTGTACTGCTGTGTAAGATCACCTTGAAACAGCTGCAAGGCTATTGTGGTCATCTATCATCTCACTTTCCAACATTTCAAAGTGCACAAAGAGATATGATCTGTCCCTGACTCAGTGTGAAAGCAGCAAAGTGCTGAAAAGTTATTGTTGGTTTAGTTTGACCTGAGTTATCAGAGACAAGGACCCCCAGTTTGTCTGGCTGAAAAAATAAGATAAAAAGGTCAAGATGATGACAAGTCTAGATGTCCTGGTCTCTGAACAAGTCCAACATTACTTCCACATCTTTCACACACTTAAGTGAAGTCTGAAAGGAAACCATATGACTTCTGAACATAATCAATCCCAGGATTAAGCTGCTGGTTTAGATTTAATCAAACATGTCATAGAAGAAGAGAGACAACAGGAGTGCTTCTCGTATATCCTCAAACCAACAATGCTCATTGAAGGGAATACTTCAAATAAAGGTCGAGGAAGACCTAAGACCCAAAACCAGAGGTTGTCTTGTTTTCTGATCAGTTGACTGTCATTTAACTGTACACAGTCTACTTGTAGCCGTGTTAGCGTAGCTTGTTGAGCGGTAGACAGAGGTGGGTTTAAAATTCAATAAACTACAGTATAAAAATTATTCATTAATTACTTTGGTTTACTTTAGCTTTAGATAAAAACAAAACAATCCGAGTTGTAGTTTTCAGTCGTATTAACTTAAGTCATTGGTGACCAACCAACATCTCTTACTGCCCCCCATTCAAAGCAGTCTAGAACCGGGCCCGTCAGTCATACCAATGTTTTTTGGTTTTAGGTTTTCCTCCACCTTAGTTGATGTCATTGTGTAGCATGAAAGATTTTTAAGGAGGTGTTCGAACATCCAACTGTCTCATGAAGTAGGTACGTAGGACGACAAACTATGACTTGAAAAGGAAAAATCCCACACATTACTCTTGCTAGGTATCACCAATTTATTAAACAAAATCACAAAGTTTTGGTCCCTCTGAACTTTTGTCAAGGGTGTGAGCTTGAAAGATCAAAAGGACAATGAATTTGGTTTGTTTGTTTTATCAAACTTCTACAAGTTCATTTTCAAAGCTTTTGTTACACACCTGCTACCACATGAAGAAGCAGAATCAGAAACATGCTGTAAGCTTTAAATGTAATTACTTATTTTCACATGGCAAACGTGAGCAAAACTCTTTTCAATGATTCACCCATTCACTCATATAGAGCATTATCATGGTTTAGCTTTCATCATTCTCCAAACGGTTTTCTCTTCTTTAGTATCCACCAGAAAAAAAAAAAAATATTAAAACTATGTTCAAGGGCTAAACTTATACTGCCTTCAAATTGCTGAGCATGCTGTGTGAATGGTACAGAGCTTTCTTGATTTAAAAAAAGGTGCCATCTTTGACCGGAAACAAGGTGGAGAGAGATCTGAAATATGCTAGCAAAGCTTAGCTTATGGCTTTTACAAGTCATAGCTAATGGTTTAATGCTCAAACGCCCTCTACAGTCGCCATGTTATGTCATAACTACCTCACTTGGAATTTACTGTTGGAAGGAATTCACCGTTAACTTTAATATTTTCTCTGAAAAGCAAAGCAAACACTATTGAAGCAATGGTGTGAATATGTCCTTTCTATTTATGAGCTCAGGATGAGCGCAGAGGACACAGTTTAGTGCTTTGTGTAATCCCTGCGGTGTCTTTATTGACTGAGACTCAAAGAGACTGTCAGAGAGAATTAGATGCATGACCAGCTACTGATTTTCTCAATCATTCCTCAACAGAAAGCAACTGTCACGTCTATTGATGTCGGCGTACTCTCCTGTCGGTTTGGCTCTGCTGTCCCTCCTTCTCGCTCCAGCACTTGGCCGTAAGTCACCCACAGACAATGCACAACCAATGACTCATCACAAAATCACTGCACTGTGTATTGCATTATTGCCACCAATGCTGTAACACATTTTTTTTCTTCTTTCTTTCTTGTAAATACACACAAAGAGGAGAGATGTTGATGACAATGCTGCGTGCTGACTTTTGCAGGGTCATTCTTTGTATCAGGACTCAGAAAATAAAGGCCAGAAATAGCAGACACACTGTGCAGGTCTGTTTTGTGGGATTAAATCAGATTAAAAGCCCACTCTGATAATCACAACAAGCCCTTTCTCTGCTGTTGTTTGGGGACACAAAGCTAACATCCAGGCACAGTGAGTGCCAGATACAGCATGTGTACTGCTGTTTTAAATTTACCTCACTGTCAGGGTGCACACACATGCAACTGCATGTGACATCTTAATTGTGGTTCATCTCCCGCTCATTGCACTAATGAGTGGCTTTCTAAGCGTAATGCTGCGGCAGGCAGTAACTTTAACAACTTGAGGCCCACATGCACAGTCAGACAAGTGTTTAGTGGTTGTAAATATGGGATTATAAATACCGTCTCACCACTTGATCTCATTTCTCAGCAGTTATGTTGGATCTGAGAACGGCTTCCAGATGTGTTTTGTTCATGCTGCTCACTGTAAATGAGCTGACTCAGGTTATTGACTAGGGGAGGCCCTCTGGCTGTCACCATCCTTGTTTCATGGAGTTCTTTGGGATGAGGCTTTTCCCCTTCAAAAAAACAGAAGTCTAGAAAGTCAGAGAGAGAGCGCCCCCTCCTGAAAGATTCCCAGGAGTTGATTCTCAACAGAATTAAATCTTTGAATTTTGAACTGCTAAACCTGCACCAAATACTAAACAGATGTTGTTTCAAAACTGAATGAGTTTCTCTAAAATTTCCAGATGGCCCTAGTTTTTATAATTGCTATGAAAAACAAGGCATAGTATAGATTTCTTTTAAAAGCTGAGGAATATTAATGGTGAAAGCTGCAATGAAATGACAGTGTGATGTATAAATGGTCGCAGTTTTCTCCAAAGGAGGCTTCAATCCTGATAAATCATAAACTTAAATAAAAAGGAAAGTGTCTAACCTGCCATATTGACCTGTCACAGTACCATTAGTCTGGCGACATGGTTTCGGCTACAGTCATGCAACATTAGCTGCCATATTTATCAACATTCTGTTTCCATCTATGAAGATCAATTTGGATCACAAGGACTGTCTGAGGAGCCTGCATTTAAAATATCAAAGACAATATGTTAGGTTTGTAGGCATGCTTTGGAATATGGGAATATGTCAACAACTGTAGTTTTAAGAAAGCCTCACATTAATGTGCATACATTGCACTGTGATGTTAATACTCTGTGACATTAAAGACCTTGTGTTTTCCTTGTATCTGTCTCCTTGAGAGCTCAAACTGAATAAAAATGACTGGTAATATATTGCATTTGTCAGCTTCTGCAGGCATAACAAGATTATTGTGGTTTTTTTTTTTTGCCCTATCAGAGCTAGACCTCAACCGATTGGATGGCGATACCGTCTGCCCACCAATGAGAAGCGGACAAGATGACCTTCCAGGTAACGACCTATGGTGTCCCTCAGTAAAAAGTAAAAGCAGTTGTTGAGGCTGCTGTAAAACCACAAACGTAACCATTGAAACACCCTAAAACCTTACATAGACTTTTCAAAGGGAGGTGGTGAGTTTAAGGAGTTAATAGGGTGGGCCGCCTCATGACTCAAGTCACCCCTTTAGATTTCAATGAGGCAAATAAAATGTTCCACTTGAGCCAAACAGAAATTTAGGTGGAACAATTCAAACTCAGCAAGATTATAATTGCTCACCACAGCCCTGTTTTAAACAGCACACACATCTGTGCACATCTCACTCTTCAAGAACATTAGGCATTGCAGAGGTAATTATCTTATCAGACCTATTATCATTTATCATTTTGACTCAGTATATTGCAATGAAACCATAACTATGCTCTTTTTCTGTGAAAACTTGTCTCAGCTGGCTCCTTAGATGGATTTCAATTTTTCTAATTTCTGCAAATGTTTGTCTTCTCCAGTAAATGTTGTTATCTCATGACTTTCCCTCCTATTCCACCATTCTCTTGAGATATAAATGGACTCTACCAACTGAGCCACAGCTGTGGTTACGAGTGATAAAAAACAGTTGGATACAATGCCATGAAATTAAGTACACACATTTAATATCCCTGTCAATTTAAATGATAATAATAGAATTCAAATATTTTCTATAATATTCCCTCCAAAATGTGTTAATTTTATTATATTATGGTCCTGCATATGTTGCCCGGTTTGCCAAAGCTTTCATCAAGTTTGATTTTGCCTAAGAGCCATATGAGCAATTGACAGGCAGTCATTATGGGACCAATGGACAATTCCATTGTGTGCCCATTTGTCAGCTCATTTACTCCGCACAATGGCCCAGCATTTAAAGGTTGGCTAGAGACATCAGCATGTGAGTATGTCAGCATACTGAATTTACCATGTATCTCAAAGCATTGGGTCACAAGCATAGCTGTGAACTTTTTGTCATGTTATTTGGCAACAAGAAGATAAATCCACTGCTTTGCTTCGACAAAATACCATACTTTATTACATCAGGTTTATGTTATATTAAACATGACTTCAATAAGAGAAAATATAGATAGTGCATATGCTAGCAACCTCAATAACATGTTCTTTCTGTCAGCTGAGGAGCAGGAATCATAATAAGATGAGACACTTTTCGTGCCTCCCGGCTACACCAACATCTTTAGTTCTTCAATTTTAATTTGTAATTGACCAATAAACCTAATCGTATTATGAAGCTAATTTTTACATGATCCATTGTAGGTTTTGATCTGATAACCCAGTTCCAGCTGGATGTGATCCCTCTGAAAGGTGTGAGGAAGGTGGATGGCTCCACTACGCTCCAGGTCGCCTACCGACTCGACAAGGAGGCTAACTTCCAAATTCCAACCATGTAAGTACAGCAAAGAGGGTTTTAAAAGCAAAACAGATAAAAATACACACAGTGGTCTTCTGAGACAGGTGTTGCATTATTACAGGTCCAGCACAGATGTTACTAGATGGTGAGCAGCATATAATTGTAAAAGAAAGAACATGCCTGAACATATTTGGAATCCCTCAGACACAAAGCTAGACTAATGGCATTTTTGTGTTTGTGTGAGTTAGTTTGGAATTGGTAAAACACCCTCTGGATACTACTTGAAGTCCTTTGTATGTACAGGAAATATGCATTGAAGAGACATATTTCACCAAACTTTTTTGATAATGATATGTCTTCAGTAGTACAGTTATGTACTCCTTTAAAGATTTAGAATGACGTATAGCACTGGCTTCCTGTCAAGATTTTTTCTGGTTTTTAATTTAAGGGTAGGTGTAGCAACATGGCCGGATTAACCCTCCTTTGGATATGGGCAGAATTAAGATGTGGCCCCCTATAGCGACACCCACACCTTTAAAAAAAAAAAAAGAAGTTGTTCAGGGACAGTGCTTGAAAAATAAAGTAACACCAGAGGCAACTCCAGCCATTCAGGTAATAGTCAGGTTTAATTTAAAAGGGAAGTTTTTCACTTACATTTAAATTGGTGCCTTCAGAAGTCCTGAGATTATTCAAAATAAAATCAGCAGAGGCTGAGACTTAGTATCTTTGGTGTAAGTCCTCCTTGTCACTGAATCCTATCTTTTTCTGAGTCCTTCCCAGACAGACTACTACCCATATCTATAGAGTACTTTGCTTTACAACTCAGACGTTAAACTAGAATATCTAATCTTGAGCCCAATTTCACCTTCTTGTAATAACTGTGACATCATCCAGGTCATTTTTGCTGACAAAGCTCCAAGACCTCAAATACATTATACAAATGCAGAGGCTTAATGGCAGATTAACTTAAAATTGTTCCATTGCCCTTAAAGTTATTTATTATGTGAAAAAAATATTGAAATATCAACAAGTTATACTGTCTTTGTTGTGATTATTTGAATACTTTGGCAAGTTGAGTTATTGGTGAAACAAGATCAGTACTCAAAAGGGTTTCTCCCAAAAGAAATGCTAAAATAATGCTAAAAACCAAAAGCTGTCCAAGATATTTCGACTTGAAATATCCCTAAAGTTGTATGACAAATTAGAAATCTCCGCCAACAGACAAACTGGCATGTATATCACGAGTAAACCTAACAGCATGTGTAAAACTGGTAGAGTGTCCTTGCTTTTCATTTGATAAAATCACCATGAAAAAAATGACAAAGAGAAAACTTGGGGCCCCTTGAGGTCTGGGTTTTTGGGACAGCTTGCCAATTTGCACAAAATGCAACTCTACATAGAAACCGAATTCTTTCAATATAGCCATCAACACTTGTTGACACCGATTAAAGACATGCTTTAGATGAAATCATTTGAAAAACTGGTTCTGTACAGAATGTGCAGGTTAGTGACTCTAACACTTTACATAACCAAAAGACATCTCTTGGCGTTCCCAAGTATTCTAGCTGTTTTGGCTAATCCAGTTGCCTTGGCCCAGATTCTTTTAGACCCTCTTATATAACTTGATGGCACCCTGATTCTACGCCACTCAGGCCTGTCAAAGAAAAAGTAAATACATGTTTATTTCCTCATAAGGTCTAGTGGCACATTCTGGGCTTTGAAGTCTACACCCACCAGTGAGCTTTATGCTTCACTTCTTCCCTTTACTCTGGAGGGCAAGAGCAGCACATACTTTACACTTTCTCACCTCAGGCAAAGCTACAGCGTGGTGTTCATTTGTTTTATTGGCGAACAGGAAACTCCTTTTATTGCCTCACCTTGATCGTTTACAAGATGGTAAAAGTCCAGCGGCAGCGCCCATCTATGAACGCACCACCTACTGAGAATGTGGCTTGTAAAAAACAGCCCAGACTGGGGATGCTAACCAGAACTGCATTTGGTCACTGAAGCAGTGGTTAATGAATTGAGGCTACCTTTTACACAGTATCTCATTTACAGTCTAATGGCATGCCTTAACATTTGCCTTGTTTCTTTAAAGCACATAGACTAAATGTAGTTGTAGTCAACTATTAAAGAGGTTGATGGGACGGCCTTTGAGTTGTTTGAATCCATGTCTTAGACCTAATTGTTTTCAAAGTTTTACTGAGTGATGTTTATTTTATTGATAGGTTAATTTAAAAAAAATAAATCTATATTTTATAAACTTTCTGGCTGAGGAAAGTCTTTAAACCCTTTTTGAGTGTCATTTGATGCAAGTTTGTAAAAATATCCCCTTGATGTTTGACTGACTGGAAAATTCTACCCTTATTCCTCATCTGATTGGAGTCCCTGTGCTTATTTTCCCTCTCAGGCTGAACTTTCCTCGTGGCTTCCCTGACGAATACTCCTTCATGGTGACCTTCCGCATGATCAAAAACACAGTGAATAAAGTGTGGAATGTCTGGCAAGTTGTGGATGAAGATGGCAACAAACAAGCCGGACTAAGGCTGAATGGTGACCAGCAGGCTCTGGAGTACTTCCTTATGGGCGCTGATGGCAACCTGCAGACTGTCACCTTCCCCGGCCTCTCTGTGCTCTTCAACACCAAGTGGCACAAAGTGATGATTGGAGTGGAGCGTGACCAGGTCACTCTGTACGTGGACTGCCAACCTGTGGATAAGAAACCTATCAAGGGCAAAGGCCCTGTCAACACAGAGGGAGACACTCTTATTGGCAGGCTTGATGCTGATCCCGACACCTCCGTAGTGGTAAGAAAGGATGGAGGGTTTGCCTGCTGCATTTTTATCATGTTCACTTACTATCCTTACATGCTCTTTTTGGAAGATGAAATAGTGCTTTCTGCACATAAACACATTCAGGTTTGTATGTGTGCTGAGCTCTGCTATAATTCTAAAGTGCTGCTGTCACAGCACAGCTGCTCAGCTGGGTTCCAGTGGAAAAAAAATAAAAACTTAATCCCTGCAGAAAATAGCATTGGTGGAAAATTAAGCTCAACATCCCACACAGGGCATGGATTTACCTCTACAAAGAAATAACTGCAACACAGCAAAGCAGTTCCAGTTTATAATGCAAACATAAAAAGGATGCATAGAGTTGTATATTACTAACATTGACATCTTTTTTTTTTCAGTTTGAGCTCCAATGGATGTTGATTCATTGTGATCCAAAGAGAGCGCAGAGAGAGAGCTGCAACGAGCTGCCTGCCACCGAGGTACAGTTACAAGAATCTGCTCAGCATCTGCTGTGGTTTGTGGTTTTACTCAGGTTGATAGGGCTCCCAGCATGCTGGAAGCAAACAAGGCAGAAATGCTGAGATGGAGTTGCAGAGGTGTAATAAATACCCGGGCAAGCAGTTTTTCTTTTATACAGGAGGGCAGAGGTTCATCCAAAATGATTTGCAAGTTGAACATTTAAATTTTTTTTTTAATTTAGTTGTCAACAGTACATTGGAGTTATAGGTCTACAAGCATTTCTGAGCTGAGCTGCTAAGAACCCTGCAGACATGATCTCACTGGCTGTGTTAATGTGCTCCTTAATGCATGGAGCCAAAACACAAATGCTAACTAGCAAGCTTTAGAAACGAAGAGGAAGTCTTGATCAAATTAATGGTGAGAACAGAACCTTACTTGGACCAGATGTTTGTGGTCACAGTTTAATTTAATTTCAACACAGACTGCAACATGTGCCACATCTTCTGTAACATGAAAATGTACCTTGCAAAACACAACAATATGGATTTGCATGGTTCATTCCAAGATTACTGCACTGACTTTCCTCAGACAAGAATAGGAATAGTTCAGACAGTGATTAAACAGGTTTTTTTATTATTTAAAATGTATTTGGCTTAAGAATCTTATTTAGAAGAGTGTCCTGGCAAAGTTGGTTGATATGTCTAAAGTTTGTTTTCCTACTGCAGGAACTTTACTTGCTGCTGCCTGATTTTCAGCTGTCAGGAATGCAATGCAACACCTGCTGCCTGCTGTTTATGGCCATTACATTTAAGCAGAAACAGCATTTTCAGATGTTTTGCTATCATGATGGTTTAGTGTGAAATTGCATGGCAGGTGAGAAATCACTTTGGGGGAACACTGACTGTTGCAAGGTGGAGACAAAGTCAAACATAGTCTCCCTGTGTAGTTGCTAAACATCCACTTTAAAAAGGCCTTTGGCATTCTCTGGATACCTGTACATTGATTACATTTCTAGAGGGACCATAATCTGGACTTTGGGGAAACCCACAACATACCATTTCAATGTGTTTCTCAAATTACTGTTGATAATAACAGATGCAAATTAAAACGTTTTGCATGTCAAACAGACACACAAGTTAGCGTCACTTTTAATCCTGGTTAGGGCGTTGGTTCCCTGAGATCTCAGAGGCGGCATGAGGCTTTGTCTCCTCTGAGCTTGTCAAAATAAGTTTTGCAAATGTAAGTATAATCATGAAAACACACTCGCAAGATACAAAAAAAAATCTATTTTGGTGAGAACAAGTGCTTATTAGTGCCTATTCTGTTAAGAATTTAGTCAATGAAAACAAAATTGATGTTCATTTTTTAACCAATGTTTCACTTTTTGTTCATGTGAGTTCTGGGGGTTCTCTGCTTTCTTATAAGTAGGGGGGGCTCCAAGGACAAAGGATGGGAACCACAGGGTTAAGTCCTAGGATGCTGGACCCATATGTCATTACTGACTGCCCGGCTTTTCTACCTTTTTACTGTATTTCTACTGCTTTACTAAAAAGCAGCTGCTCCAGGTGTCTAATATTGTTGCCGATGGAGGAGTGAGTTGAAAGCCTGTTTGAGACACTGAGGGCCATATCTGACAACATTTTTGGGGACTGCCCATGCTGAATGCTTGCTAGCTAGCTTACTTTTGAATTGTAGCCCTGAGGGTGTTGAGCTAAAAGTTGAAAATTTATTGATTAGTGGTTTTAATGATATCATTGTTTAAAATCAGTTGGTTCAAGCTAATGGTTGCACAGGTCACATTTGGTTTATACATGAAGGAAGTGCTAGTTAGTTTTTAATTTAGTTTTTTAGATTAAAAAAAAAGTAGGTAAAGTTTTAAATCTACTTTGGCATAAACTTTTAGTTAGGGTTAAATAGGCTCTGATTGGCCAATTAAGAAGAACTTCAGCATGTATCTTTAAAGTAACATAAACAATGGGGATCAATTTATCTTTTCTTTGTTTTAACATTGTCTCTTTCATTTGGCTAAAAAAATGTTTTCTTTAGCTTCAACATTGAAGGTGGCTCAAGGTGGCTGCTTGAATGTTTATCCAGTTCAAACAGCTTATACAAGACTGTACAGATGTTAGCGTACAGTCTTGTTTGTTTTAAATTGACACACTGGTTGTGTTACAGTGAACCTGTTTCAAGTTCAGCTCAGTAGTCACAAGGAACCATAATTCCTCCTACAGCCTTTTTCTTAAGGTTGAAAGATTGTATTTAAGATATCAAATGCAGCAAGGGTAAAGGAGTGAAAATCAACCTTTCAGAAGATTTTAGATGGTGATAGCAAACAAACACACACAAGCTTGTGCATGCCACACACTAAAACATGCACATACTGTAGACAGACATAGGCATACACACATGTGTTGTAAGTCTGTTTAAATTTAGTTGGCTTTTATGTCTGAGTAATATGTTTCACGTCAGTTCAGTTTTAATGAGATTTCTGCCTATTGAATAATACTGTAGCCTATAATGGAAATGCCACTCTGCTGTCTACCATCTGATTCTGAATAAGTCTGCACTACTCCTGTTTTTGTTCAATCACTTCAAGATGCAAATGTTCTACCCACTCTAGGCGGAAACATTTCCTGGCCTGGTGGGTTCTATTAGATTTCAGGCTAACATTTCTGCATCCAGCTGTGAGGTGGTTCTGCAGATGGGGAGTGTTGGTACTATGGGCTGTACATTCGAACGACAGCATGAAATACTCACTCCTATGATTATGACCTGATGCGCTTCTGCTGACTCTTATGGTGAGGGTGGTGTAACTACTTTCACTAACTCCTTTTTTTCTGATTTCTCTTGCTTCTTCAGATGTATGCCAATGCTGAGGTATTTATTTATCTTTTCTACTTCCCTTTGCTTTCAGATTTTAAGCCAATAATCTACTTCAGTGCTTCAATTGCCTAATGACCTCATCTCTTTGTTCTTAATCTTATTTATAGTGGTGGTGTTTTTTTGTTTTTTATACTATTATGTGATTATTCTTTGAATCTCAAAAAATGTGAAACATGTCTGCAGACCATGTTACTTGCCTTTAAATTACATATGACCGTATGGTCCAATGATTTGTTATTTGTTCAGCTTTATTTTACTAAAATAAGTTGGTAATTTATCATATAACATTAATTGTACATATCATTGTATATATTGTAATTGTATATATCATATAACATTAATTGTAATAAATCGTATTGATGATAACAAAATAATTTCATTGTAATTTCCTGATTGGATGTCTCCACTCTCAGCCTGACAGATCACTCCAAGGGCCCCCCGGAGCCCCTGGCCCAGAGGGTCCTCGGGGATCAGCAGGAGAAAACGGCAGGGATGGAAGAGATGTAAGAATTTCCTTCTTGATAAAAGTTATTCTTCCTGCAAACCAGAACAGTCTTTTATTGTCTGACTTGTTTCTATCAACACAGAGAGTTGTATTTTCTTTGTGTCTGTATTTACTTTAACTCTGTTGTTTTGTTCATCTCTCCAGGGTCTTCCAGGTTCTCCTGGTAGCCCAGGAACCCCTGTAAGTATGAAATACATATAAACAAACTGCCCGAAAACTATGCAAGCTGTTGATCTATTCTCCCTATTTTGTGGTCTTGTTTGTTTTTGCTACATGATTCTGCAGGGAATTGATAAATATGTTAAGGAATTCACACAAATTCAAAATGTTTTTCTCCAAGACAAGATAACTGGATTTTCATATTTTAAGATGACACTTTAAAGGAACAATTTCTATTTTCTCCAAAAATAACAAAAATAATCAGACACAAAGGCATATCATTTTAAGAAAGTGGCTGCTTATTTAGACAGATTCTGCTAAGAAGCAGGCTATTGCTTTAATCCTGGTGAGGCTATAGACCCTCAACATAAGTTGACACTTCTTCGTGTTTTAGACATTTCTAATTGCCATTAAGTTTTAAGGCAACCATCGCATCCCATTCTCCACCTAAGTCCCAGTAATTTTTTTTATCTCCATCTTAGTTTTATCCTAAGTCATTTAATGCCTGCACTTTGTCATGACATCTCATATAGAAAAACAATTTGCCCATTTGTGTCTCACAAAGACACTCTCATTGGCCTCTGTGCTTCCTTTTTAAAATGGGGTTTAAATGAGCCAATCTATAATGGGTTATTGAATAAATCCCAGGGGAACGTTTGTTTCATGTGTCCTTCATGTCACAAAGGCTTTAACATTGCAGCAGATACGATTACATTAGAGCATTTTGAGAGCCTGAGGATTCATTATGATGACGCTAAAGGATTGATAGATATTTTTAAGACATGGTAAGAGGCGTGACAAAATGGTTGGCATTTTTTCTACCACTTTGGAATGAGAGGGTTGATAAGGGCTTTTTAACTTTTGCTCTTTTTATTGATACAACATAGGATTTAGTGCAGCGATCTTGCCATTCTTTCCTAACGACTGAACAACTAGATGTTAAATACTTCACAATATAGTCTGTACATGTATATGATGCTTTAAAAAGTTGATTCATTGTGTTAGTCCAACTAAAAGTTGACTTTTTAAATACATGTAAACCTGTTAGATCCACATAAATCATACTAAGTCGAATGTTTCAAAGTTGGACAATCAGATTATGCAAGTTTCTCATGCATGTCTGTTGAATAGCCCAAAACTGGCACAGGATATCTGCACATGTTTCACAGTTCCCACGCCCGGCTTTCACCCAGAAACATAAATGGGTATCCAAGCATGCATTGTTGACTCCTGCCTTTGGATATCGCCATCAGCACCAGGGAAAGCGTGCATCTAATTTGTCATCAAATGTATAGAGTTATAGATTTGTCCATGTTTTAACTGTTTGATAGATTCGACCAGTTTGCCGCTTGTTATTGTTGATTGTTTGATATGTGACGTAATAGTTCAACCAGTGGAAGGTCCAATAGAAACTAGCTGAAAGGGGGCATATAGCTTCTTTAAGTAACAGAGTACTTTTGTCAATTAATAGATACTCCCCCAGTGTTGTAGTGGGACACGCACAATAGTCCAATTAAATGTCAACATCATGCAATAACCAAACTCTGGGTTAACTGTGCATGTCAACGTACGAAGTGAATTTGAGCCCATTTTAGTTTTCTTTGAAGACATTTATTTAACACATAACTCAAGCCACACAATCTATTTGCAATCATATGTCACAGAGGTCTAATTTTAAAACAACTGTCACTGACTGAATTTGAGGGTTAAACGGAGGCAACATGCTAACTACACTCTCCGTCATATATGGTTGCTATATTTCCGTCCCAACCCATTTGATATTTACAGAGACTTACACAAGCTTGGGTTGTTGTTGATCCAAGAAACAGTAAAGTGGCCCACCTCTCATCTATTAAACGTTGACTGCCTTTTTGTATCTTAGCAACACTGTGCAGTGAGATGCAGGGAGAAGATAACATTGTTTTACTCCTGTTGTGTCTGTTTCCCAGGGCAGCAAAGGGGAGCAGGGAGAGATCGGTCTTCCTGGACAGAGAGGCCTGCCCGGCCTTCAAGGATCTGGTGTAGGAAACGTCACCTCATACAATGACAGAAACACATAATATGATCTTCCAGTATTTTCTGTTTGTGATGATTTGTTTGTTATCTTCAGGGTCAATCTGGTCCGATGGGTCCAAGAGGGCCTGTAGGAGAGAGAGTGAGTTAACATTTGCATGACTTATAAATCATTGATATGAAAGACTATAAGCAAACTCAGTCTCAATGATTTGATTCTCTCTTGACTGCAGGGACTTCCTGGCTTTCCAGGACCTCCAGGTTCTCCTGTAAGTGGAAATCAATTGTCAAAAGATAAATGTATCAAGATTTCCCCTTAACGTAACTCAGTATTACTATACTGTGGTATAATCAAACTTGTATGTCTTTCACAGGGACCAGCAACTGAAGGACCTGCTGTATGTATTTATTATTTTTTAAACATTTTCTGTGAAATATATTTATCTTTATTTCTTGAGCAATTAACAGTGAAAAAAATGTAGATTGTTGTTTGCTTTAAAAAAAATAGAAAATAAAACTTGCAGTCCATGGCATATAAGTGTATCGTATCATATTGTATCATATCATATTATATCATATCATTGTACTGATCTTATCGTACTAACTTTTCTGTGTTGGTTTTTAACAGGGACCACCAGGGAAACCAGGAATCCCAGGAGATGAAGGAAACATTGGGCCTGAGGTGAGACTTCATACCAGGACACAAATAATGGTGCAAAGCAAAGAAAAGTCAGGGCGCCTGTGGCTCAGTTGGTAGAGTTGGTGGACTCTCAACTGGTTGGTGGACTCTCAACTGGTTCGATCCCCAGCTCCTGCATCAACATGTCTGATGTATCCTAGGACAAGACAGTTAACCCTGAATCGCTGCTTCATCACCGTATGAGTGTGTATGAATGGGATTAGTTACTTCTGATGAAGACTAGAAAAGCGCTATACAAGCTCAAGTTGATTTACCATATACCATTGGAAGAGATGTTAATGTTCACCTATGTAGAAAGAAAAAGTCAGTTATATTATCTTGTGTACTCACACGTAAAGGTCTTGTACATTACATGAGTATTACCATTTAATGTTTTTTTTTATACTTTACTGAACCAAATTCTCAAGGAAAATTTGTAACTTTTCATACCACTAAATTTCAATTACAGCTACTACTTAAGGATATTACAAAAATGACAATTGCCTGTTACCCTGCATTTAATGGACCCAACTCAGTGGCGGGCAAAAAGCACAGCAACCCATTTAATGACTTTGGGCTTTGCCAAGCCAAGGCCACTGGTCAAGGCCCAACTCGTCAAGTGTTGGCTCCAGGGTGAAGCCGAAGGTTGGGAGTCGGTCACTGCTCCAAGCAAAGGTGTTCAAGCATGTTGGGGTCTTATTCACGAGTAATGGTAAAAAAACAAGAATGACAAACATGCTGGTGTTACACTATACCATCAAATAAAGATGCAAGTGACCGACAAAGTTCATAAGCTATGGGAAGTGACAAAGGAATCAGATCTATGACAACAAAATGAATTTATTGAATATGACTATGATGGCTGGGTTTACATGCTTACCCTGCTGTCACCAAGACCCAGCCCAGAATGGGTGAAAGACAATTGAAGGTATGGTTAAATGCTGGAAAGAGAAACATTGAAAGTGTTGCGGATTGTTGAAACAGATCATTTTAGGGACCCGACAGAGAGAACTCCCTTGATTCCAAGCCAGCCTTGTTTTGATTGAGGGCCCACTGGCGGCGGAATTTACATACTGTGCGTTTTAAAGGAATTATGAATAACTATACCTTTTTTCATTTTTATAATGTCACTTTTGGTTTAGAAATAAGTTCTTCAAATCTTAGAAAGGATATAGAATAGTGACCATGAGACCTGAATCAACTTTTTGGAAGTAAATTACCAAACAGACTTCATACAGCTATATACATTTTCTGAAGTTTAATTTTATACTGTTATAATCCTTTCTATTTTTGTAGGGTCCACCTGGACCCAGAGGGGGAACAGGCATCGCAGGGCCTCCTGGCCTTCCTGGACCACCAGGGCCTGTGGTAAGAATTAGAGTCATGTTTAGTAACATTTACTTAAACATGAATATTTCTTTCAGTAAAAATATTTCTTTTCTTTTTTAAGTATTCCTTACCAAGTAAATATGTACTTTTCAGAGCCAATATGTGCATACAGATTTTTGGAATTCGCACCTGCTGATTGTCAATATTACCTCATGATCAGTGTGACCCTTTTCATTCCAAGACTCCAAAAAGTCTCTGAAGCAGATTTAAACATTGTTGCGCTGCTCCATACATCCTCCTGTTGCCTTAATGTAATTAGATTTTGTACAGTGGCAACTAATTGTAGCATACCAACGTTTGAGTATGCTCGGTATTCACATATTATCTTTAGGTGTAAACCTTAAAGGACGCCCTCTAATCTTTCATCTTTTCTTTTTGACACTTCTTCATCTTGAGCTCAGATTTTCCTGTAAAATCATCGTGGCATTGCATGCTTGCTGTCTTTACACATTATCTCTGTGGGAATTTCTGCTGTGGTGGATTTATGTGGACATCTAAAACCCCCCCCATGGATATTTTAGATGTCACTGCTGTGTTTTAGGGACCGCCTGGTGCCAGCAATGAGGGAAGTGGGGAAGCTGTGAGTGTTTTACCGTCTTATACACTGCCAAATGTTTCCTGGCTGCATGGCAATTGGAGTGGTGACAGTGCATGTTTGATTAAACTGAGTCACTGAAGCTAAGAAGCTCTGCAGCAGCAGCAGCGGCAATGTTTATTGAGAAGCTGTTTATTTATTCCATTTCTCATTTCAGTCCTTTCTGTCTGGTTCTGTATGCTTTTTTAGTGTCCTGCTGCCTGTCCTGCTGGACCCAGGGGGTTGGCTGGGCTACCAGGGATGAAGGTGAGGAATTTAAAAAATATATTGACCTTAAAATCCAATTAGATTAAATTATATTGAGGCTTTGTTGGTAATGGATCCTCTGTCCATGAAGGTAAGATGTCTTAAATAATTGAGTTCATAAATTGTAAGTGTAAAACTTTCTTTGGCAACAAACACTAAGCCTATCTGTAAAGCAAGGAAATTGATTTAGGCTTTTTAAGTATCAGACAACATTAATAAGTATGCTGTAAGTATTTTTAGGACTCTATTTCATTTTTTTTTTTTTTTTAAATAAAATTGATAAAATGGTCTGGTTGAATATGTGAGGCTAATTATCCATTCGGTGCAAATTGAATGTTGGTTGTTCAGTCAGTGATTTTACATCTGATTTACTAGCCAGGACCACGCCACAACAATATTCATCTAAACATTTAATGTGAATTCATATGGTATATTGAGACAGTTGTATGTTTGTGTATGAGAGGAGTGTAGGTTAGAGATGGCCTTAATCTTTAGGTTTTTTTTACTACCCTAACTGGTTATGGCCCAGACTTTACCTAGAATAAGAGAGAAACATGGCAGAGTTGTGTTGGAAGCAATACTCTGCCAAGTTGAATAGGAAGGGATGAGGAGGGAGGTTGAATGGATGAGAGGGAGGGAAGGGAGGGTGGGTTGAAGGAACTGAAACATGCAGATTGGAGTGAGGTGACCAGTTTATAAGTAGGCTTGTCAGGTAAATGAAGGTGTGGTGTTTGGGCGTGGTCCTGTTCCCGAACCTAAATTAATACACTATTGAAGCCATCTATCATGGCTGTGTTGGGCTAGGGATGTTGGACTGAGGGAGATGCAAAAAAATATAATATAATTAAGACTGATATTGATAATTGCGGTAGTTGGACTCAGGTAGATCCACGTGAGCAGTCCATTTGTTAAGGAACTGCGAGACAACGGAGCTCAGGAACTGCAGGGAAGATATACAGTATTTGATTGGTAACGTTAATGGGGCATTAAGCTTTAAGGGTTTTTACATGTTTTAATATGAAATAAGTGCATACAGAAAAAGAACGAGAGACACACCAAGATATGAATACGTTGTCAAATTGTAAATATTTTTGTTTTCTTCAGGGACACAAAGGTACAGATGGAGAGCCTGGAAAAGATGGAATCCCTGGAGACAAGGTATGTGATTTCTTACTGACACATGCACTGTGTTAACAAGTCAATTTCATGATACCCAGAATTACCTGCAATGAAATTATTTGATTTTAGCCTCTTAACAGGATAACATGATTATCCATTTTACACATACTAATCAACCTATTTCTGTTTGTTTTTTTCTCCCACAGGGGGATGATGGAGCAGCAGGACCTCAGGGGCCTCCAGGTCGCATGGGAGATGATGTAAGGAAAGATATTCCTCACTCACATTGTGTTACAAGAAGCCCAAGAACCATATGTGATAAATGGTTTTCCTTTTAATGCTCTTGTTTTATTTCAGGGGCAAAGAGGGCCCATTGGATTCCCAGGAGCCCACGGAGAAAAAGGAGACAAAGTCAGTTAAACATTACTTCTAACAAATCTATTTAAACATGCGTGCTTGTGTGTGTTTGGCGGGGGGAGGTGATGATGAACATTTGGAGCCAAATATAGAAGTATGGAAACTAACTTCTATTTGTTCGTAGGGTCCTCCTGGATTCAACGGTGTCCCAGGACCAACTGGCCCACCTGGAGCTCCTGTAAGCTAGTCTTAGTTTGATCATTTCCGTGTCTTTTGCAAAGAAAAAGGCAAGATGGGATCGAATACCAACTCACCAAAATGTATCTCTGATTTAATCTCTTGTCTCAGGGTGTGGAGGGAATCCGTGGACGTCAGGGTTTGGAGGGGCCTAAAGGGGACGAGGTGAGTTCTGCTCTTTTAACTTCCTTGATAATATTGCAACTTTATCTGAAAGACTTTCAATTAAAAACTTTCATTTGATTAGGGAGCAGTGGGAGCTACAGGGGAGCAGGGTGCTACAGGGGACAAAGGAGAAGTTGTGAGTATACTGATAGGATTGGATGAACTCTTATTGTGGTTGAGGGAACACATGGATATAACATTATGTGTGATGTTGCAGGGAGAACCTGGTAAAGACGGCTTGGATGGACTTCCTGGAGTGGATGGAGCCAAGGTGACTTCTAATTATCAGCAAAGTAGCAAATATCTTTTGTTCACTATATATTTCCTCTTCTTGCTAAACATATCCATATATAGCCAGTAAAGTATTTGATACTATGTTTTCACCATCACTGTACACTAATCCTCAACAACTGGACTCAATTGAAGCCAAATACTTTAACAGCAGATGCTCCAGTCATTTGTTTACTTTATCTTGAATGAGCACGTGGTCATACCAGACCATGGGTGAATGAGAATTCCTATAACATAGTCTTTCCTTTAAGGCATATACTACATTATATCAGTATAAGCCTACAGTGTACAAGACATACATGTATATTGCCTTACACATATTGATCTACTTTTCTCACTAATATACTTCTTACATATCTCCTCAACAGGGGGAGGCTGGTACTCCTGGAGCTGTTGGTGTCAGGGGGATTGTGGGCATTCCAGTAAGTCCTGCTACATTTTCTTATTGTCTTTCTATATAACAAAAAGAATCTATTACGCACTATTTTGAACTTGGTAGTTGTGACTTTCAGATGTTATATTCCAAAGTATGTTATGCTGTACATAGCCGCTCTGTTGGGGCCCTATAGGCAAAAATCCATTGGGGGGGCCCTCCAATCAGCAGTCATCACCATCAAGTCTGCCAGTGACACTTACTCAACTTACTCTTTTTTGTTTCCTACAGACGTTTTTATTCGTTGACTTTCATTGAAAAACTGATTTTCACAGCAATAATGCACGCAACGCTTTGCATGGCAACAAGAGTGAGTGCTGTTAAATGAGGCCCCCTTAGGTAGATACAGTCATTGCAAAATTTGCACATTTTGGGCCATGTTTGTGAGCCATCAGGGGCCCCCTGCTGGTCTGGGGCCCCAAGCAGTTGCCTACCTTGCCTGTTGACAAGCAGATGCCTGCTGACCATATCTATGACTTTTTCCCTTAAAGATGAAGATAAAGGCAAGAGTGAGGTGTCAGTTGATTCTTGACACTTTTGTATAACCTATTTTGGTTTTGTCACAAGTACTACGTGGAAGTTGAGGAGATTCACCAATCAGTAACTTCTATTTACAATAGTTTTCATATAACTTGAATGCAGCATAAAGAAACTCTTTGTTGTGTATTTAAAAAAAATCTATGTAGGTGAGGCTTCCTCTGTTACCCTTTTTCAACACATTAAGAGTTATTTTACTCTACATAAACACAATTGAAGGGTGTTGATGAGCTAGCACACTCTTTTCTAATCTCTTTTCATATGATGTGTTGTTGCTTTTAGGGTCTGCCAGGCAAGCAGGGAGTAGCTGGACCCCCTGGTGAAAAGGTAATTGGATTCGTCTCCCATTTAATGAGGCATGCTGAAGTACATCCAAAATGTTTCGGCTGCACTGTTGAACTTGAACAGAAACACAGAAATTAGATTTTGAAACTTACTAAATTCCTGTTGTGTGCTTAGGGCGAAACCGGTGCTGAGGGACCGACCGGACCAGTTGGACTTCCCGGAAAGGCTGTAAGATCATATTTTTAAGCCTTTGATAACACATCATAATTATATTACTCTGTTAATTGGTTAGTCTGATGCCTCAAGTCACACTTTCAAACAAATCGGCACTCAACTGTTTGCGCACAGGGTGAGGCTGGATCAGACGGAGAAGATGGAAAACAAGGAGATAAAGGATCAACTGTGAGCTGACTTTCATTTTTCATTGTTTTTTTTGGGTTTCACGTCCTACTCAATTAGTATTATGTTTAGTGTAATGGATGTTATTTGCACTCTGTATTGACCTTATAGGTACATCAGTATTACTCATTTGATTTGTTGACTGTGTGCATGATTATTCTGCAGGGTGAAACAGGAAAACAAGGACCTGTGGGGCCTGGAGGTCCTTCAGGTATACAGGTGAGGCACTAATTATGGCTTTATATATTTACAACAAGAACAAGTGTGTTTATCTGTATACAGTGATGTAGATTGTATTTAAACATGCAAAATTAAACTTTTTCTCAACTACTCATGTGGGAATCTTTTGAAAAATGAATGCTTGATAGGATATTTCTATATACTTTACAGATTGCAATTTCCAATACTAAGATGTGAAACTATATCTGCATTGAATAAATGTTTGTATCCAGGGGGATAAAGGAGACAAAGGTGACACTGGTGCCAAAGGAATGAAGGGTCACACTGGATACAAAGGTGACCAGGTTAGACAAATCTCATTTTATTTCCCCAATGTTACTTCAACACATCCAAAACTATTAGAAACGTGGTCTGAGTAAGTACATAATGTTTTTAATGTGTTGTCCAGGGGCCTATGGGACCTGAGGGAGAAAAAGGAAGTCAGGTAAGAATTATAATCATCCATATTTGTTCCAAATGTATCTGTGAGTGAGCTACCATCAGTCCAATGACATGTTACTGTTCTGAACAGGGTGACACAGGAATAGCAGGAGACATCGGAGTGAAAGGAGACCAGGTAAATAGAGATACTTTTGTTGGGTTGAAAGTGCATACGCTTTTGTTGTTTTAAAATTAAACTTATGTTTGAATGTTTACAGGGCCCTCCTGGTGTTACTGGAATCAAAGGAGAGGTAGTAAAATACTTATTTCTGTACTTCAACTCTCAATCTCTTCTTGCTAAACAGTTGCCTGAGGACTCCTGTTTTCAACATGCTTCATTTATTTTGATGGCCCCACAACAGAAAATAAATGTTTATATAGTTGTAGTCTTTTGTCTGACTAGGATGATCATTTTTTTTCACAATAAGCGAGGCGAGAAGGGCATGAGGGGAGCTACAGGAGATGAAGGCAGACCAGGCCAGCCCGGACATGAAGGTTTGGCTGGTCCAATGGGAGCTCGAGGGATGGAGGGAGAATCGGGCCTTCCGGGAACACCAGGCCCCAGAGGTCTACCTGTAAGTGTTAAACGCTATTCGCAGCAGCATGACACAGTCAAGAATGTGAAAAGTGAATATGGAAAGCTGAGCAACACACTGAAGATCTTATGATCTACGATCTACACTATATGATCCCATAATCCCAAAACTATAGTCTGTGTTCATTTATAAATGTTTAAGCAATTTACAACTATTTGATTGAATTACCTGGTAACATGAATCACCCAATGGGAGACCAAAGATCAGGTCAACCAAAATGGGAGCAAGGCCTCTCTAAAAAAAATGACCAAAGCCTACTCTACTACTTTACCAAAATAAAGATTGATGAGTCAGTCATTTTACATCCAAGGGATCTGATCTATATCATGATAAAGACCACATTACACACTGACCTTTAAATCTTCACGTTTGCTTGTTACTGTAGCATGTTAGCAACTTTGCATTGGCATTTACCTCAAAGCATTGCTTTGCAGACCCACATTAGGGTTTGCATGGCTTTAGATGAAATGCATCACAACTGTGGTCAATCAGAGCATCATATATGGCAGGATTATTTTTTTAATGCTTGTCTTTAAGCTTTGCAAATTTTTACTTAATCGGCAATGTGTTTTCATTTATTCACAGGGACCAAAAGTGAATGACGAAAAGCTTCGGGAGATGTGCTCAGCAGTTGTTGAAGGTGCAGTTTGTTTACACTTACACTTTCACATCTATGTCTCCACTGTTCAAATGACTATTGTAAAAACCCTTTCCCATTTTAAGCGGTTTTGTTTTTCTTCAACTAGAACAATTAGCAGAGTTTATGAAAGAGTTCCTGAAGAAACCAGCAGCTATAGGTGCGCCTGGCACTCCTGGACCTTCAGGACCTCCCGGGCCCCCTGGACCAGCTGGAGCAGCAGGAGCAGCAGGAACCCCGGGGGCAACAGGTCCCAAAGGACATCCTGGCTACTTTGGAATCCCAGGCACACCGGGCAAGAAGGGTCAGTAAACCTTTTTAAATTCTCTCTGCAGCTCTCAAACACAGCCTGTCGTAAGATTGCCAAGGCTGCTGTCACCATGGTTTACCCTTTGTTTCTTGGTGAGTGTTTCACACAGTGGATGCAGATAAGACATTAATTTAAGCTTTAGAGAAACAATGAAGTGGGCCCAGGCAGTATGCATTTGTCTTACACTGACAGAAGAGTGCTCCATAAATGGAAGGGATTCACGCATGCATAACATTATACAATTAATGATTCACTAAACAGGGATGAATAAGAATGGACTCATTAAGTTTCCTATAACAGTGACTATGTGTGCCTCTCCATTTCACCTTCACATTAACTTGTTTTTCCTCTGTGCACTCCTCTGTTCTGCAGGTGATGCTGGAGAAAAGGGAGACAAGGGAGTCAAAGGAGAGGATGGGGTAGGAATCAAAGGGAGCCAAGGCGCACCAGGTGCACCAGGTAATGATGAAGTCTTGACATGATGAGAACCAAAGCATTCAAAATGTCTTAATTCCTCTGCAGTAACGCGGCAGCTGAACATTACATATTACCTTTTTCATATGGAAATACAACCATAACGATGCTGCTATTTAGGTACAACCTTTTCAATATCAGAATAGAAAAAAATGCTCTGATGCTTGCCTTTAGATGGTTGATAATGGGTTCTGGGATTGCACTACAAACATATGGTCAGCCTCTTTTGCTTTGCTTATGTACTGTTATTAATACTGCCAAAGCCATCTGAGGGGGCGATTGTAACCAATGTGGAAAGCAGGGTATAGGTGTAGTGGCAATTTCTTCTAGTGTGTTATAAAAAATGTCACTTGAGTCATAGGAGCCAACCTGTTTGTTCCTGATTCGTGTCCACTTCAATATATACATACAGAACCGTCGTTTCGATCTAAACTTAAAGAGGTCATATTATGCCCTTTTTGGGGTTCGTATATTTAATCTATGTACCTACTAAAGTATGTTCACAATAGCTAAGTTCTAAAAAAGTGTCTGTTTTCATGTACTGCCACTCAATGCACCGGCTCGCTTCTGACTCTCTCTAAGGCTCTGAAGTGCCCACGTTCAGAGTCCCCACGTGTGCCAAGTCTGATCTGATTGGTCGGCCTGTCGGCTCTGCCGTAATTGGTCAGTCGCTCAGCCACTCTGGCTCCAAGGGCCGGGGAGCAAAAACATTAGCACCTTAGCACTACTGTGCTACCGCAGGCTACCGCATATCGTGGGCGTGCTACAGAAGTTAATGGGTGTGCAACATGAGCTGCTGGGCTTGTCACAACGAGCCAATGGGCTTAGATCAGTGATCTCACACTGACAAGACGTCACACTGGCAATTTTTTTCGAGGGGGTCTAGAACTGAGCGTTACATGCAGCTAATACTGCAGCTAACAGGAGGACGTAGGAGAAGCCGCGTTTCCGCGGACTTTGAATTTTTGCAAATAGATGTGCCTAAACATGCACAGGACACATGGAAAACACACTAAAGAGCATATAAAACCAGAAAAAGCATAATATGGGTCCGTTAATATATCAAAAACTCATAACTTAAACATGATCAAAAAACATTTGCTGTGTGGCTCCTATACCTCCACCACAGACAAAGACAATCTCATTTTCTCACCACCTGTGCATGGCACCCACATTAATTAACTCAGCTCCACCTATAACACAAAATACCTGCCAAAATATGCCCAAATAAAACCATTATTCACCATAAAAGTTTTCATGTCAAATAATCATAAATAAATACTTATTTCTAACGATACAAAATATATGCTCTATTAGCACAAACTACAATCAGACTTCTCAAACTAAATTAACCATCATTAAAATGGCTTCTACAGCAGGTATACCTTATTTTTCAGTCTTCATTTCGTAAACCAACTTCTTAATCTCCTCTGATAACTTTCATTGGAATATGCTTTAATTTTTGTTTAAAAGCAAGGCATGACCCGCCCTATTCTGTCTCTAATTGGCTAGTACTTGTTCTTGTCTTTCTGGGTAGGTTGGGTAAAATATCGAGGTAGCCAATCACAGGCAGAGTAGGGCACCTTGCCAATGCCATCCTAGGAAATAAATTGGAACCTGCGGACTACCAGGGTGCGTTCGAATTGTCATTTTTGCTAGGGAGATTCCTAACTGAGTGAAATGACCCGGAAGCATTTAAGTGGAGGCCATGATAAGAGCCGTTCGAATTCTCTAAAAGTTAAGGAAAGGTGGGTCAATGCTTCCTTATAACCTCCTTTAGCATAGGATACACTGAACCATCCTTTACGAAAGGAGATGAGCTATTACGCCCCACAATTCCTTGCGACCGCAACATTTAAAGCGAATCGCGCATCCGACCGTTCACGAACATTAACGATGATCGTAAAGTGACACTGATGATGTTTTATTCAACATATTGCATTCACTTAAATGCTTTGTGCAGTTGTACATTTGTATGCTTAAAACATTGTGTGTAGGCTATATCTTGCATTAATGTAACAATTAATTACATACAATCATACTGAGTGGTATGGAAGCTGATGGTTTCACTTTTTTTACTTGTATCCTGGTAGCCTATATTTCTTTTATTTCAATCCCAACCTTGTGGTGATCAGGATTATTTCATCGCCTTTCCCTAAGTCCTTTATGAATTCTCCTAACATCTTTCCTTAACCTCATGACGTTTTCCCCGGGTTAAGGTAAAGTGGATAGTGAAAGGAGATAGGAGAGACAATTCGAACGCACGCCCAGTCTGCTCTGTTAGATGATAAACTTAAAAAAAAAAATGTCCTCTTGGAGTATTCAAATGAATGAAAGAAAGAAGGAAAGATAAAGCAAACAACTCAATTAAAAGTTTGCTTGAATAAAAGTAAATGATTTTCATGACGTAAAGGTTGTCCCTGTCTTCCCTGCCACTTCCCCTGGTATTGTAAAAAAAAAAAAAATCAGCTTTTTGCAATTTTAACAGATTCAAGTTCTTGAGAGGCCATGATGACTTCGAAAACTCAAAATTACGCATGTCTGTATTGATATTCTACAAATACTATAAACTTTTTTTATTTGTTAATCACCACCGTCTCCACTCTAGTGGCGCTCCGAAAGTATCTTCATGTAGGCCAAGCAGAATTTTACAATAAAAGCACAGACGGGCATTTTGGCTCATTACTCAATTAGCTCTCTCAAGTACAGGAGTCAGTATGCTTTGCTTAGGTTGTCCATCCATGTGATCCATCTCACTGTGTACAAGCAGGGTTTGGACGTTAACAGAGAGGAATATAGTGCAAGTTAAAGGTTTTGATACTCATTCACAAGTCAAAATTAATCTGTAGGTTATGAATTCATTTTCATTTTGACATTTCACAATTTTGACATCTCTCCCTTAGGTGCTGTAGGTGCTCCAGGCATCGGCAAGGATGGAAAAAATGGAGAACGGGGTGACACAGGAGGACCTGGTGCCCCAGGCGCAGCCGGTCCGAGGGGACCTTCAGGGCCACCCGGGCTTTGTGATCCATCAACCTGTAACAGACTTCCACCTCTCTATATGGTCAGCGGAAAGAAGTCTGCTGGCTACAAATATCCATGAGGTATCCCAGTTCATTGAAACAGTCCAGATCTCATCCTGCAGAGACCACGTTTAAGGGCTTCTCATGAGTCCAGGCTTGGTCAACTTTGGGAGTCTTCACATGTCTCCGTCCGAACCACGGGTCTAAGAGGCGCTAGAGGGAACAGAGACCATGCACAACTGTAGAATACTGTATAGACATTTTATCTTGTATGTGATTTATAGTGAAAGCATATCTAATGTTCAAAGATAGCTGCTACTGATGCCAAAGAAACTTCTTCCAGCTGACGACAGGCAAACAGGCCCACAAGTTGACCCAAACAAATCTCTGCGGTTATATCCGCAGAGCCCCTTCTTTCAGGAAAATACACCAGCAGGTTGTAAAGCATTCTAGATGCTCATCTCAAATTGTACTCCTATGCATGTAATTCTACCATAATAAGCTTCCTGAAACATTACTTCAACTCTTTTAGCCACATGTAAGACTTACAGAATGACAGGGGACATTTTGACCCAATGATTCACCACTGAAGTCATGAGCCAAATTTAAAATAAAATAAAATAAATATGAATCTTTGTTTCCTAAAAACGACATAAACATGAACAGACCTGAGCTTACATTTACAACAATTTGCCTTATCATTTAGGATCATCAATTTTTGCTTGATTTTGTCATGATAATGTTCTAAAAAAAATGTAATAAAGTGATATGTTTTGGAAGTGTGGCTTAGTAATGTATTTAGACTTCTCCCATTTTTTCTATTTTTCTATCTATCTCTATCAAACAGCTGTAGCTATGTTGTAGTTTTGATTGAAAGAGTTAGGTTGATCTGTGTACACATGGCAGGAGCAATGAAATTCCAGTAAAATTGTTTTGTGTGGAGAACAGGGTCCCTGGGTTTGTTATGATATAACCTGGATTCCGGGGGACATGTCACCGTTGCCAGGTAACAAAGTAAATTTCGACATCTTCCCCACCTGTGTCTGCACAGTACAAACACATTCACAGATCAAACATGACCTTTACCAAACAGCTGGAATGAGCAGACATTCAAAGGACAGCTATTGAATAGATCTTATCGGGGCTGAGAGTCAGTGGGTTTGAAGCAAAGACTGACTCAATGTCCATATAAATATGGACATTGAGTCGTCCTCTACCTCCAATTTCCAAAAGTGAAGCCAAAATATCCCTAGACAGACACCAACTTTGATTTGTGGCAAAGATGTGTGCACAAGGGAGCTGCCCTTCCACACCAAAGCACACATTAAACTTACAGATAAAACATCACATATTCCGGAGTCTAAAGTCTACTAAACTGATTCTTGCAGACGCTCAGTTATGGAAAGTTCAATCACTGTTGTGTCATTGTTTGTTTCATCTCTCCCTCCCTCTACTTTGCTTATTTTGTAAAGAACGCTGCAGATGCCGCATTTGTCAACAGAGCTGTCAATCACGACGTTACATTTGTTCTTTTTAATATCAAATAATACATCAAAACCAAACTTCTCCAGAAAGTGAACACTTGGACATTACTCAGCATGAAAATAACTAACTTTGATGAAAGACACCATGTTCGAGTAAAATTAATGTGACCTGTATTTTAATAAGTTTGCCCCATGTGTTTGTTAAACATGGAGGAGGCAGTATTTATAGTACTTATAGCACCCAGTCAGCAGGGGGAGCTCTAAATCTTTTGGCCTCACTTCTCACCTGCTTCTTTGCTGTCCATTTTTAATTAACCTAAGGCTTGACATTGTGTGCATAAGAAAATCATTGGGCAAGTTATGCAATTGGAATTATCAATTGTTTTAATTATCCATCAATCGGTCCATCCATCCATCCATCCCTTTTATTTCACTTACCCGAGGTCAGGTCGCAGTGGCAGCAGGCAAATTATTCAACATAGACTTCCCTTTTCTTAGGAACGATTTCCGGGGCGTTCCCAAGCCAGACAGGGTATACAATCCCCAGGATCTTCTCCCAGTTGGGCGTGCCCGGAAAACCTCCAAAGGGAGGCGTCCAGTAGGCATCCTAATCAGAGGCCCAAACCACTTTAACTGGCTCTTTTCGATGCAAAGTAGTAGCTGCTCTACTCCGAATAAAATTGAGTGAGACTGGGTTGGACATTGACTATTCAGAAACAGAACAAAGCCAGTGTTATAAAATGAATCCATTCCAGTCTTTATTATACAGTACAGTACATTTGTCTTTCCCATACTTACACTATGTTACTAATTAAAAATATTCTAGCACCAAGTCATCAGTAAAAGATAAGGAAATCAGGTTAATAAATGTGTGATAAGGCATGAAGACACATTTGTATTGGTTTAAATCCTGAATAATTTAGCACTATAACTTAAAAGATATTTCAATTTGCTACAATAGCTCATATGAGTTATGAAAGATGTTTGTGTTATATAGGAAAGTTTTAAGCCATTTTTAAAGCTATGTAGAAGCAACCTGTAGTGTATTGGTAATTGTAACATGTATTTACAAAGCAAAAAAGTTGCAATACTGCAACGCTTTAAATGTTCATTACTAAACCACTGACGAAGAAACAGTAAACTGAAATATATGAGAGTGACAAGAAAGCAGGTCATTCATACCAATCACGCTTTGAGGAGCAGTTTGGTTCTACTCTACAGTTGAACGTTATTGAAATTAAAGCAGTTTTCTGCTTTAATGTTTTAAATATTTCTGAGCTGCTTTGAAGGCAAATGAATATCGCATATGTAGAGCTGAACATCAGAAGTGAAGTACCCAGGTTCAGGGTTTTTTTGGGCCAAATGATATAACAGTAAGAGTAGCTAGTTAGCCTAGCTTCCTCGCTAATTATGAACCATTCGTTTTTAAGAATTGTGTTGGATGTTTAAAGCTCATGGCATGACCATGGATCTTTAAAAATAAGTAATTTTCAGTTATTTGTTTTCTACCTTCAGACCTTGCCTTGGCTACGAGCCAGCCAACTTGTATAAAAACTTGTACATATAAGGGCCTGTGTCCCATATATGTGTGTTTTTTGCCCTGGAAGCGACTGGTTTTCAATACAATACCAATCAGCTGTTTGTTGTCGCTGTATTCACAGCTCTCTCAGTTCAAAGAAGTTCAACTTTAGAACAGCGCCACACTTGTCAATGTCTATTCCCCCTCACCGACAAATCAAAATCAAGAAGAGGCAGGACTACTGATATCAGCTTTGTCAACAATAACGGCGGAGGAGACACTACTCTGCACTGTCTGTGGACACAGGCTCTAACTGTTGTGGAACAGATGCCACTGTCGACATAGTGTAGAAATTGTCTCGTGTAATACTGGTCAACTTTGAATTCAACCTTTTCCAACACATCTTAATTTAGCCTCCAAAAACTAATATACAAACCAAATTATGTTGTACCAACAAAATGCCAGATTAATCTAATTAAGCAAAATTGTATTTCGTTTGATATGAGATCCATTTACAGGTGGAAAATGTTACTTATTAAAAAATGCACAGCTTTATGAATCTACTACCTTCAGAGCAACCATTAAAGGAAAGTTAAGCATAAACCAGTCTGCTGTACACACACACACACATCTGTTAGGTCAAAGATACATTCCTTATAATGACATGCCATTAGTTAATCTGAGAAAGAATGCTCATACCTATAATTGCACATATTGTGGATCTTTGACTCCAGGTAATAGTGAATGTCTTGCCAACCTCTCAATTGATTTCTGCACTCTACTTAAAAGGATTGTCCTCCGACTTCCTTCTTGTCTTTATATGTGCAGAAGCTTTTCTTCATGTTTTTTAAAAGAAGACAAATGCGATCCCTTCTGTGGAGGGGCTATTAAATAGGTTCTAGATGACCAGTAAGTTTGAGACTGGGGAGAGGTTTAATTGGTCCATGAGGGACGAAAGGCAAAACATCTTTGAAATGGTTTTCACAATGCTCGGGTCATCAGGATGCAGGGAAGCAGCTCTCCAATTTAAGGTTCCAGGGGACAAATAAGAAAAGCAATGTCTTTTCACAGCAGCGCCGAGCTGCCCGGGCACTGCCACAGCGTAGGCACTTAATAAGCCTCAGCGAGCAGAAAGGAAATGACACATTTAGAGAGAGCACCGTGAAACAGGCAGCTTTTCAGGAAAGGTGAACAAAGGCAGCAATTATACCACCTCCTTAAAGCTGTTTACTGCTCAAGTATATGCATACCTCAACGATAGAATGACCAGAGCCACTTCATTAGAACATAAAAAGTACAAATCAATGACATTTCTTCCTGCCTCCACTTCTCTCCTTTACACTGAATGAGCCTCCTGTGGGTGAGTTTGAAGGAACCAAGTGTTAGATTTATGGGATATTTTGACACATTTTCAAATTAACCTTTGATGGACAGTTATTTCCAGAGAAAATAAGTCTGTTTTGTTGCTGCCTAAATTGAACAAACAGGTTCAAATTGGGAATAATTTGTTAAATTTGGTTAAGGGGGGGATTTTCCTAAAGTTATTTTATTTTGAGATGAGATGCTAGTACAACACAAAACAGAGCCGCATAAGAACACTACCTCCAGCTTGGAAGCATGGAAAGCACAAATGTGGTCATTCATCACTCCCCACGTTAACTCATTAACACTCCTCCCACACAAAATCACTATTGGTATTTGAAATGGTGCCTCACACTGTCAGTGCCTACCATTCCCATCAATGACAATATAACAGATAGTTGTCTTGACTGAGTTATTACCAATAGACAGGTAAAGGGTCTTTGGAAGAAATCAATTTAGTGTGCAGTAACTCACACCTATTATGCCGTGCAGGACAGTGTGGGCTGCGAATTGTAATTGATGCAAAATAGTGTGAAGCGGGAGAAAAAAAACTGAGGTGCAGACAAATCCTGGAAGAAATGCCTGTCTGAATTTTTAGAAGATTATTGATGAAATCTCATATACCCAAATCTTTACTCCCGATGGGGCTGTTCAGGAGTAGAGAATTGCATCATCCTTGCTCTCTTCCTATATACTTTACAGGAAGCATGCAAGTGAAGAGAAAAGAAAAACTGTTTAGCTGCCCTCTTTACCGCATATTTAATCTGATAATGTTCCTCAATGCTTAAAGCTCATCATCCCAAACTTCATACCGAAAACAAACAAAACAATGAATCTGACCGGCAGCACATATTGCTTCAGCCCTCCATACTGAGGTGATCTTGAAAAGTAAAAAGTTCTTGATTCAGACGGACACAACCAAGTTCATAAATACAGCTGGACTTCAAGCTCTTTGTATCTCTTCTTTTTTTTTAAGTCCCCTTTACATTCTTGCTGTGGGGTCTTTGTGCCAGGCTGGCATAGTAGGCACACTGGCTGGGGTCACATTGGCCAGGAGGACCTGGAGGTCCGGACTGTCCGTGGGGGCCGGGGTTTCCTGGCTCTCCCTGGGCTCCAGCTTGTCCTGGGCTTCCATCTTTACCATATCCAGGCAGACCGGCTGGACCTGTGTTGGAAGGGGAACAATTAGTGTTGCCAAAATTGGTTATAAAATACTTAATACTAAAAAAATTCTTAGTGTTTTGACACATGCACAAAACACTTCAAAATTTCCCCAAATTCTCGACGTGGGCTGCATGTGTACACGCAAACCGACTAATTTATCACCTCGACATCAGCCGGACTATTTCCTGCCACCACAAGTGACAGTTTGCAGGATTTTTTTTATCCTCTCTAAGTTTTACCCTCCTCCAATGCCCCAAGGTGTGCAGAGTTTTTTCTTCAACATTTGCTGCAGCCACCATAAGTCACATTTCTGTGTAAACTCTAGGTGAGCCAATGCGTGGCACAGCAGGAATTATTAAGGAGGGGCAGATGCTTTTTAAATCACGACCTGTGCAATCTTCATCCATGTAATGATGCTGCTTCATACACTTTTCTGCAAGGCAGTACGTTCTTAACCACTACCTTGATACTGTGAATCCGTCCAATCACACATATGATTGAAATAAAGACCAAAGAAAAGTGTCCGACTCTGTTGTTTCATCAACCATAACATCATGACTTGTGCCTGAGAGCCCACTCCCTGTCAGCCAAGGAGAAGCTCCCACTGTGAGGGACATGTGTAAACAAGTAACTCAGGAAGATTCCAGGGGCAGGCAGTCCTGAAAAAAAAACCTTTTCAGGAGTGCGTGTGTGAAGAAAGTTGAAGAGAGATTGTTACCTATGGGGCCAGTGGGTCCTTGCTCTCCTCTTTCTCCGATACCAGTATCTCCCTTTTCTCCTTTGGATCCCTTCTCACCTGGAAAGAACCCGGGAAATCAGAAAAAATTGTTCAGTTTTCATGGAAGATATTCAGCACAAACCGAGTATCTGTGTTAAATAAGTACAGGCAGAGCATTTCCTGGCAGTGTTTGTTCTCTTCCTTGAGTCTCTCTTCTTAGCAAACTTAAGAACTCAACAGATATCTGATTATTGCCCAAGGTTTTCTAGTACAAAGTTCACATTTTTTCCAATTTCTAAATTTTAGTTCAGTATTTGCCATAAAAGACCTTTTGAGACTCTGGTTAGATGTATCAGCAGCACAAACTGTTCAGCCTGTAATCGAGACACAAAGTCAATTGTTGAGAAAATTCAGTCTTTTAAAGCTTACTCCGCTTGAGTACCAGCAACACAGGCTGCACCTGTTAAGGAGGTTTTGAGGATTGAAACCCCGACCTTCTGGTTGAGAGATGACCAGCTCTACCACTGAGTCCCAGCCACTCATTCCAGATGAAATGTGACAAATACAACGTTCTGAAGAAAGAAAAACCTTAAGAGGGGGCACATATCACTGTTTGTCCTACCTTTAGGACCCATGGGACCTCTGGGTCCTTCTCCTCCATTCTGTCCGGGCATACCGGGCTCTCCAGGTGGCCCAGGTCGTCCAGAATTGCCGTCTTTACCCTGAGGGCCTGGAGGTCCTGGACGACCAGCTGTGCTCTTCACATGGGCCGGCTGGAACTGAGCCATGAGGTACGCCATTTTAGCTGGACATGAATGAAAAGTTAGTTTAATCTCAAAGAAGCCCATTGATGTTATTACATTAGAATAAAGATGAGCGTCTCCTTACCATCTAATTGTTTTGCCAGCTCCTCCTGGATGAGCCGTCTCATCTGCTCCAGTGATACTGACTCTCCCTGAAACAGCAGAGATGATAATGATTTATTTAATTACTAAAGCGGTAAATGTAATTCAGCATCTTTACATTTACAAACCTAAACAAACTATATAGGTTCATAGCCTTCACGTGATATGACTCACTCTTTGTCCTGGGATACCAGGGTTTCCTGAAGGTCCTTGGGACCCTGGAGCTCCTATTTCTCCTGGTGGTCCTGACATGCCCATCATCCCTGTGTGGCCCTTTCTGCCTGGGGGTCCAGGGTTTCCAGGAATCCCTGATTCTCCTGAGTGTCCTTTATCTCCCTTCGTACCTGGATCTCCCTGGATAAAATGACAGTGATAGTAAATGTTCCAGTTTTGAAGGACCTTCGATAAAACTGAAGGATTATTGAACAGCTAAAATAAGGCAAGTGTGAAATAGAGTAAAGTAGACTATATGTAGCTGCTACGTATCCTAAATTTAAATCAAAGTCATAAATGCATTTGTATCAAGAATGAATCCTATTCTAGAAATTTGAGGTATAAATATGGTGCCTTTTTAAATATTGACTTGTGGTTTCTCATGTAAATTTTACACATGCAGCCAAGTTGATGGAGATGCCCTCGCATCATTACAATTGTTTGGTTTAGACTGCTCATAAAGCTTAGCCAGAACTGACTTTGATCTATCTTTTCTTTGCTGATGAGGTGGGGAAAGAAGTAAAGAGGAGTAAAGTTCTGCTTGTTTGTAATGCTAATCCTGCTAACATTGCATGACAGCAAATAAAGCAAGACCACTGAACATAACAAAGCAGCTATATATATATATATATATATATATATATATTGTAAATAGTGACCCTGCAAGAAACTCATTCCTTACTAAATCGTTTGGTTGAATACTAAACTGTAATTTTATATGTGAGGGTTTCAGGCTTTTCAATGTGTTCCATTTATTTTTAAATGTGATGATTAGGGGCAAAGATAAGAAAGTACAAGATGCACATTTTTCATATCTCAAAGATCAAGGACATTTTTTTAAAGGAAGATATTAAAGGAAGAATGTGCAACATTTTACGCATAAATACAGCAGAAATCAAGTATATCCTGTGTAAATGTCTACAATGAGTGAGAAGCATGAGTCCCCGCCAGCTGTATTGTTATCAGAGCCGTGTTTACAACATGTTTACATGGACGGGCGGCCTTGTGTATAAAGATGTTTTAGTCAAGGACTAGAGAAAAGAAGAATAACTTACTCACTGCTTATTTGGATGTCACATAAGAGCAATATGAAGCTAGTTAACCAAAGTGTGCTAACATTAGCCTGCTAACACAAAAGTGCAGGCCACAGGAAATTGATCAAGCAAAGGATGAATTATGGTGAGTTCTAATAGATAACTCTTTCATGCAAACTTGAGTGGAGATGGGTTTAGCTGGAGGTGTGTCGCTGGAGGAGAACAAAGGCTTCAGAATAGCGGAGTTGTCGCCAAACAGCAGTTTGTTTTGGTTTCATGCTGGTGCTCAAGGGCGACATCTACTGGATGAACAAGGCGCACATTCTTCCTTTAACTGATTTGCATCACTGGGTTACGTGTAGTGTTGCCACCCGTCCCGTAAAATACGTAATCTTCCCGTATTTTACACTTTGATATTGCGTCCCGTTTTGAATCAATACAAAACAAAAACGACGAAGGACATAATAAATAAATAAAAATACTATTACATTCGTACTGTTTATTTAATTAAAAATCTGTCATCTTACTGCTCCCCTCTATGTTACAGCAGTGTCAAAAGCACTTCAATAATACTCTGTTAATGAATTAATGTTAAGTTAATAGTTTAAGTTAAGTTGTAAATTAAATAGTTCTAGCTAGTAGTAAGCATCTGCTGAAGTCCTGTTAGGTGCATTTCATTGTGCATAATTACTGTATCCGCCTTTACACTGAAGTTTTGCATTAGTAAATTATTTCGGAATAAAAAGTGTTAATAAAGCACTTAAAACTTTAAGTATGACTCTTATTACTTCATTAAAACCACGTTTTAAATCATGATTCACCACAACTGGTGCCCCACCCCACCGTTGGGTCAGTGGTGGTCAGGCCCCTACTTTATTTTTCTGCTTGGAATGTGGCAACCCTAGTTGTGTGACATGTTAGCATCTGTTATGATCACATTTTGCTTATATCCCAATATTTTCCTTTGTGTTTATGTCTTTAGAAATCACCTTATCTCCTTTGTGTCCACGATCACCAACTCTGCCTGGCATGCCCTAAAAAAATGCCAAGAAACAGTCAACCTCAAGCAAGACATCCATTTTTATTTCATCATATTAATCATCAATATTGCAAGGTGCTTACCTGTTTCCCCTCGGGGCCAAAGGGACCAGGAGGACCCTGGAAATCAAGATGAAAAATAGTAGTAATGACACATCACCAACAGCCGGTCATATTTGTGACCTGCAAGTAATCTTTTAATCAAAATATGCCAAATGTGGCACTCACCGGAGGACCTTTAGGCCCACTAAAGCCGGGTAATCCTGGGCTGCCAGGCTCTCCCTTGTCTCCCCTCAGACCCTGAATGACAGCAGAGGCATGGCCGTTCATCACATGGCACACACGTGGAGTACTGTGCTTGTATTTTAAAAGCCTCGCTCATTACTGAGGATTCAGCAGGATTAACGTTTCGTTCCAGTTCTTATCATCATGCAGCAGTGCGCTGGATCAAAATCTCATAAACAAATCTTGCCAAGGGAACATGCCAGCCTTAAGAGATTTAAGTTTATATTTGCAAGGCACATGTGGGCATGAAGACTAGCTGCCTACAGTAGCTACAGACTGAAGGAATGTATTTATGCTTGCATAAAGAGAGACGTATTCATCTTTACATTCCTGAATGGATACATCTTCTCTGCTTCTCTCCAATCACGACACCCTCCTTTCTCTGCGCGGTTAATTTGTCCACTTGACAGCATTTTTGGCAAGATCTCACCGTGCCTCTGAATACTTTCACCCTCCTCTGAAACCCCCCTCTATCTCTGCTTCTAACCTTTCTGCATCTAGCTGCTGCCCTCCTGTGTACTGGAGGCTATTTCTGATGATCTGCTCCCTCTGCTGACTGATATCATCAGCTCCTCTCTGATAGCTGGCTGCATATCGTCTGCCCTCCAGTTAGCATCAGCTACTCCTCCTCCCAAGAAGCCCTTCTTTGGCCTACGGACGAGTGCAGCTCAATCTATTTCTTTCCAAAACACATTTTGCAGCCAGCGTGTAATATTAAAAACTCTCCTCACTCTTAAGGTCTCACTGGATCACACTGTCTTAACCTACTTTCATATTCCATCTGTCATGGAGACCTCTTGCTGCCTCACCTTACTAATAATTTTCAAGGCCAAAGAGCCAGTCTCACCCTAAAAACTCAATCAATGATCCCTTATCGACCGCATTTATGGGCCCAGCAATATTGTAAGAGTAGTTTAAGTGAAATGGCTCAAAATGAGCTATAATGACAGGGACAGCACTTTAAATGACATATATAGCATGAGGGACTTGGAGGTTATTTCTTGTCTTCGTAAACCTGGCCTTTATAATTACATATTTTGGGGTATAAATGAAAAATTTGGAAAAAAGTTTTGGAATTGCTTTTCTAAAAGTGTTTGTTTTTTCCCCACCGACAGACTCAGACTGTTAATTAAACTGTCTGACCATAATAGATTGATGCTTTTTTTTCTTTTACCTGAAACAGCCACCAGCCTCCATTGACAAAAAAAAAGTAATTTAAAACAGTATTATTGTTTTTACTGCAGTTTGAGACAACACAATGATGTATATAACCCAAAGGTAGCACACAGAAGCAGCTCCTTCTTCAGGATAAAATGATCAATGGAGTCTGGTGGCTTCGATGAGAGTTATCAAACGGAAAGAGAGATATGTAGCAAGGCTATCCAATTAAACCCAGGACACTTCAATAAAATTAAGCAGGACATTGAATCTCCTTCATCAAAGAGGGGCCTAAGATGTGCTGAGCTGAAGGGTTACGTACGGGGGCCCTAACGCAAGTGAGAGAAAAAAAAAAAAAATTATGTTAGTATGCGATCTAGCATAGATGTCAGGTTTTCTTGTGGCGATAAATGTTTTGTATTTTAATAACAATTTTAAAATGCAAATACTTTAAACTGTCATTGCCAGAAATGTGCTAACACACATATTGTAGGTAGCTATCTTTTGTTTAGACTTCATGGAGATATATTCACGCTTTCAGTCATATTAAGAACATTGGATGGTTGTGCACTTCAGTATTTTAGGGCCAGAATAAGTATTAGAAAAACTTAAGAATGATATTGACAAAAAAAACTACTTTTTTCATCAGCACAATGGGAAAACATAACAGAAACAATTAGCCTGACAAGTATTTTCAAACCTGCAAAGTCCCTTTTTACATCCACTCTCAATTATAAAAAAAAACATAGATAAATAAACCCAGAGGAACTCCGTCCCACCTGCCAAAACTCATAAAAGGAACATAGAAATATAATGTTGCATCATCTCTTTTTTGACCTGTACTCCAGCTGTGAACATAGGGAGGAAGATCGTCTAGACCAGTGACTCTCAACTGGTGGGTCAGGACCCAAAGGTGGGTCGCGGAGCTGTTTTCATCGGGACGTGAGCATGTGCCTGGAATAAACTCAGTAAAAACAGTTTGTCTAGTGGGTTTTCTAACATGTTTGTTGTGTTCAGTTTATTGCTTCCGTCAGATGTTTTGCATCATCTGAGGTACAAAACATTTGACGGAAGCTGCAAACTGCAAAAACTGCAAGATTTGCATAAAATACAGCTGATTGGTGGAACAATATCACAAATTTGGGTCACATTTGTTTAAGGGGGGAGTTGGTGGTGGGTCCTGAGGCTAGACGACTTGAGAACCACTGATCTAAACAATGGGTGTTCTTTTTCTCAATTGCTGCTTTGGGCTTCCGTAGATTGGAGCCATTTCTTTTTTTTATTTCAACTTTTTAATCAAACTAAAATTCCATTTCAAAAACATGAACCCAAATTTTTTAGGGTAGGCCTTAGAGATGATCCCGAGACTGTGGCTTCATCTCAGTCTAACATCCTCAACATCCGAATAAAGCAAAGAAATTGTTGTTTTAGTGGGATGTGTAAATAACCTCCATGGAAAAAAGCCCTCGTGGAAGATTGTTTCATTTAGTCCACATTAAGGAAGTTATACGTGAGCTCGTCTTGTCTTTCAGGCAGCGGATTGCAAACAGGCGGATATAAAACACACCCACTTATTGCGATATACCCAAATACAGATACAGAAAATGCCATCACTGCAAACCTGTCATAGGACTTGCTTAGAGTGACACAATACTACATAATACAAATTAAGAGAGAGTAGAGTGAGAGAGAGCAACATCAAAAATAGCAGTTTTTCCATCTATTTCGTTATAATGTATCAATATATTAATGCCAGTTACACAATGAAGTGACCTGAAAAATACTATAAGTAGTTTTCCAGTAATCCTAAAACCCTCTATTCAACATGCAACTCTTGACTTAAACCTTCAAATCAAGGTCAACCTTGACAAGTCTTTTTTTTTTTTCCATTGCAGCTTCAGCTCTCCAAATCCTCGGATGACCCTGTTTTCAATCTGCATCATCAATGATTCAGACATTTGTCACAGGGGATACGATGTCAGTATTTGTCTACTGATGGCACACAAACCTGCTGAATTTTTTTTTAGGCCCTGTGAGTCCATGTGACAGTCTACTGTTATCTACTCCCTATGCTTTGATTATACTTATCAGTAGGTTGTCTCCTTATTGCAGCAACTTGGGGCCTCATGTATAAACGGTGCGTACGCACTAAAATGTTGAATACATTTTCACCTTCACCAGATAGGACAGCTGAATAGAGGACCCACTGCTGCTGCAACAAGGACCACAGCCTCTGCACATGGGGCACGACACAACCGCCAAGCCACTGATGCCCAATCACTTTCAATTGTAACCAATTTAAGGCACCTCAATGTTCCCAACCCTGGTCAAGACAGTATTTAACATCCAAAATCTGACAACTCATGTCTTCTAGAAATAATTCACATCCTTCCCTCGCCTACAGTAACATCCCACACACTGGAACTGCTTTCTCTTTTAACTCTTAAAATGCAACTTTTTCACAATGTTCCTTCCTGCCTCTTGTTTTTTACATTTATCTCTGATTAATGTCCTCCCTCTGTGAAAAAAAGTATATTAGTTACATTTTTTTATTGAGTTTAAACAACGTCTCTATTGTTTGTGTGCACCGTTAGTCATCCAAGAGTCCATAGATAATAAGATTTAACGATTATGCACAATGAGGAAATAACTCACTGGAGTTCCAGGGAGGCCAGCTTTTCCTGATGGTCCAGGCTCCCCTGGCTTCCCCTAGGATGCAAAACAGAAGAATATAAATAGAATGAGAGACAAGGGGTTTGAGTGCCACATTAGGTCCTTATCTATCTCTCTGCTTGACAGGGAGCTTCATCCATCTTACTGTTTGAGTCAGACATCGCTGCAAGTTCAATTTTTTTAAAAGGCTCACCGTCTCTCCTCTTGGTCCATTTAGTCCTTCTCGGCCTGAAGGTCCAATTGGGCCCTGTGAAAACAAAACAATAAAAAGACCATTTTATTATCTTGTCCATGCTGAAAACAAAAGGCTCTTCAAATCTCCTCTTTAGGGTATCTTGAGAATTTAGCCTTGGGCAGAAAATAGCCTCAGCTGTACTGTAGTGGTGTATTAAATCTTAGCTCCCCTTTTTGTTGGGGGGGAGTAGATGGAAATATTCTTCCTTTAAGAGACTAGAGCTGTGAAAACATTCTGTCTCCAGAAGCCAGATAATGAGTGAGGTACAAAAAGAAGGGTTTTGGTGAGGTGTTACTTCCTGCCACTAGACAAATGGTGCCATAAAAGTGCCACAGTCCTTATATGCGTATGTGAGACAGATTTCAGGGTGTCATTTTGGAGAAGTTCAATGTAATGAAGCTCAAACACAATGTCAAAAGATATAAATGGTTTCAAAGGTTTTGCTGCCAGTCCTAGACCACTTGTTTTATATAACCATGATTAAAGATCCTGTGGTTTGCTTGAAATTGAGCATCCTGTCCAAAAACGTGGTTTTTTTTTTTTAATCTGAGGAGTGTTATATCTGCATTCTATCGATCAATTGAGGACTGGTTCCAGACAGCAGTAATGATTACCTGCAGGGACTCGAAGGTGCTTTCAGAGTGGCAACTTTTTAAAAGTGGATCACTGAGCCAAGAGTGCAAACCTTAAATGAAATAATAATAAAAGGGAATAATAAGGAGGCCTGCCTCTAATGTAAATAAGATGCATATGAATTAGCTAATTCTTAAAGGTATAATCTAGTTCATTTTACACAATCATGTAGCAGATGTTAAATATAACCTTACTTAATAAAACAGTGAGTTTTGACATTCTCAGCTCTGTGTTCATATTGACAGGATGTCCCCTCCCCCAGTTTGTTTATGTTTTGCTCAGAGGCACAACAAGTTACATTGACTTGTCAGTATGAATAAAGTGACTTTATTGCATCGTCTGAGACCCCTCTTGTATCAGTGTTTAGGACTGAACATGGCTGCCATTATTATTATTTTCTCTGCAGGTGAGTAACATTAAAATAAAATGTAATAAACAAAACACTAACTTTCAACCCTTTAAGTTCAAACATACCTCCTTCCCAGGTTTTCCATCACGTCCAGGTAGTCCAGACTTTCCATCTTCTCCCTGTTGGGCACATAAGAAAGAACATTAAAAAGGACATAATGGTCATAATAATACATTTAAGCTGTGGTTTACTTGTTAAGTCTAAAACATCCAAAATATTTCGATCAATTTTTAAATCACCACCTCCTGATGTCCCCCATTGGTATCTGAGAGGCGTTATGAAGCCCAACAATGGTGGTTGCCATGGAAATGCTATCTCAACCTAATTTTCAATCTGTAAAACCCTCTCATGTGCTAACACATTCACAACTAATGTTGGGAATCCCCAGGGATGTGTGAGCTCAGCCGTATACAGATTATTGTTACACCCAATCGTCTGTATTCTGACGACTGATATCTTTGCTGAGGAACTCAGATGACCTTTAATCGCACCAACATGCCTTCAAAAATCAATCAATCAATCAATTAACAGTCGAACACGTGAAGCCTCTTGGAAAACTGCAACACCTCAATCCGTCAGTCAACTCAGCCACACCTGTAATTATGCATATTTATGGATAATGCTTAGCCTTCATCGAATCAAACTCGATAACCTTTAAAACTTCGGCTTAGTGTGCACCAATAAAAAAAAAACAGCAAGCAATTCCCTTTTTAAAACTAGGCTGTCAACATATTTATTTATACTCTAAAATTACAGCCCACCTCAAGCAGACACTCGATGAACTGATTTGTGGAGATTTGTGCACTTATGAGTTGGCTTCCTTTGCATCAAAAGAGGTTGCCACTTGTACAGCACTATGGAGGGTCAACATGACTTGTCCACTTTCACAGTTTAATGAAAGGTTGCTGACCACTGATTTTTTCGAGTTCTATTTCAATCAGTCAATTAAGCTTACTATGTGTTTGTTTCGGGATTTTGTTGTCACCTACGATATCCTTTCATGACTTTTTTCCCAATTTGATGCTTCACAACATTACCTAATATTCTATCATGCAAAGAAAGCCAAACTAAGACCTACAGAAATCCTATTAAGAATCAGTATCACACTGCTGCATCATACTGAGGTTACTGGGCTGAATCAGTGCTTCTTTTTGCATGCATAGACTTTCCTTTTGCTGAATAATAATGAATATAATTTCCATATGAGTGACATTCAGTGAATGTCATTATAAGCAGTGGAGGAGAATTCACACTTCCTCTAATAAGTTGTCTCCTGTCTGTTGGGCTGGGAGGCTTCCTGTCTCTCTGCAGCTCAGTCAGAACTGTCTGTAATGAGCCCTGCTATTGGTCATGGCTCTGTGGCAGGAACCTTTCCTGCGGGTGTGTGCTGTGTGAGAGACAAAACAGCGGGTGCAGTGATTCTCATGGAGAAGACGGTGTGTGTGAAAAGTGCTTGACATTGTGGTGGAACATGCGAAGCACTGAATGTGGCTGTGAGCTGAACTCCTGTAATTAATAGATCAAGTTATGGCTTTGGAGCAGCGGAGGTTATCTTTGTTAATTCATGGTAAATGGACTTGAGCTTTTCTGGTCTTCTGACTACTCAAAGTGCTTTTACACCGCAGGTCACACCTACACATTCACACAATGATGGCAGAGGCTGCTATGCAAAGTGACCATCATACACATGCATACACCGTCGATGAGGCAGCTTGATCAATTCGGAGTTAAGTGTCTTGCCCAAGTAAATGGTAAATGGTCAATGGCAATAAATTTATGTGCTCTTGATGACAATGCAATGCATTTTAAGTTGCATTGCACAATTTTGGGCACAACATGATTTTAGAAAGTTATGAAATGGTATTAATGAAAAATAAGCCTTGTGGTTGGGACACAACATGTTGTCATGAGCTTATGTTGTGTCATTTAGTATTTTTATTTATCTGTTATTGCTTCCCGTTGTATTGTTACCGTTACATCCCTAAATTCTCTGTTGGTTTTCAGTGTTTCCTGTTTTATTTTGTAGTTATTTCCCCAGTGTTTCATGTCTAGCTTTACCTCCCGGCCTTGTGTGTTTTCCCTCCAGTTTGAATGCCCTCATCAGTTTCAGCTATCTTGTTTGTCACACCTGATTTTGATTAGCCTGTGTCTATTTAAGCTCTGTGTTCATTCTCTCTCTGTTAGTTTGAAATATGTCATCCTCTCTGTGTTACTCCTTGATTTTTGTCGTCTTACCTCCTCTTACAGTTTCCTCTTGACTTTTTTGAGGATTTTCTTGTGGCTCTTATCATTTCTCCTTTTGGAATTTTTAGTTGGACTTTGTTGTACCTTGGACTTTTTGAAAGTTTGCTTAATTTTGAATACATACTTTTTTGTTATCTGCTAATTTGTTCAGTACTTTCCATTATTAAACTAATTGAAAGTATTAACAGATCTAAACAAATACAAAACTAAACCAGAACCTCATGACACATGTAAAAAAGAATGCTAGAACAGTTGGCAGGCAGTACAGATTGGTTTATCAAAGGTCACCAATTATATGTCCCATTTCTTAAATATTCACTATACTAAATTAGTGCAGAAATACAATTAAAATAAAGCTAACTGTGTGTCTTCAATGCGGAAGGAAATCTTGAAACAGAAAGTAGCAAACTGACCTTCGTGCCGGGAGTTCCAGATTCTCCTCTGTGGCCCTTAAAGCCCTGCATAGGAGGAGAGATAATGATTAATCAGTCACATTAATTTGCCTCGCCAGACCTGTTTACTGGTGGTTGCTTACCGGGAGACCTCTAAGCCCAGGATTCCCTTGTGGTCCAGGTTCACCTTGTTTGCCCTGAAATGGAAGCAGAAATTGTTTTTTATGGCCACATCACATGATACAATCAAATCTCTCTCACAAGAAACAGTATCTAGCTGTTGTTGTTCAATATGAAACCATTAGATAATGACTATGTTCATCTACTTACAGGTTCTCCTGTTTCACCAGGTCTACCATCTTTCCCCATTTTCCCAGATTGACCCTGTAAATCAGTGAAATAGTAGATTTAATCTCCACAGCTGTTATAACCTTCAACTGCATGTATAACTCAGATTGTTTACAGTGCTGTAACTGTATATTCATGATGCTGTACTTTGTATCATATTTCTTACAATTAAGCCAGGTAGACCCGGCGGGCCTTGGATTCCTTTGAGACCCTCTTTACCCTGGTGAAACAAACAAACATAAACAGGTCACAGTCACTGAAGAAAAAGAAATGATTAATGGCCACTATTACCACACAGGCTGGGTGACCTACATGGTAGCGGGAAGAGGTTTGTGAAATAATGACACATGGGTAATACATTTTCTGAAGGGAGAGTACATGAAGTGCAGTCTGACCTTTTCTCCAGGGGACCCCGGGGGGCCAACAGGGCCAGGCTGGCCATCGTTACCCTGAGGAGAAAGAGGCAGTGTCAGTGGAGGTCAACAGAAATAGAAAGTCTGTCTGTTTACAAAAAGCTTCAGCAGTTAGATCATTGGAAATACATGGAGAAAATAAGCCCAAAGTAGAGACTTACAGGTGTACCCATTAAGCCAGGTGTACCGGGATGACCAGGGGGTCCTGGGTGACCCTGTGATGAAACAAGAAAGAGATTAATATATACTCATTCAATTCATGTCAGACCTTGTCGTGATAAAAATGTCTGTGAGCATAGAGGGGGGGATAGGACAAAATATATACCTTGTCTCCTTTGTCTCCAGGGCTGCCCGGAGTTCCTTTATCACCTTTAAGACCCTTTGGTTTAAAACAAGAAGAGAAGAGAAATCATCAAATGGTGGTGTGATACTTTAGAGGAAAGATTTATCAGATGGACTACTTGCCAACAGAAACAAAAATCTCAAATGTTCAAAGCATTACTGTGGAAGAGAATATGTTAATATCAATACTGCTTTTAAAATGTGATTCTCGCCTTTTTTGAGTGGTGTTTTGATAATTGACTATTCCTCCAATTACTTGAACCCTGACAGGTAATAACAAGGTTGACACAAGCAATCTATTAGCTTTAGGTCCTCTGGGAGCGTTAAGGGTGCAGTTAGTGTACAAACTTGCCTTTCCTCCATCGGTTCCAGGGGGCCCTTGAGGTCCAGCCGGTCCCGGCGCTCCCTGTAATGACACCGGCAGAGCATCAGTCTCTGTCCAGACAAACACCGTTACCGGGTCCTAATCGTTTACTGCTGCCCCCAGAGGAGGCAGAGCTAATGATGCAGAGAAAGCCGCTCCATCCGTCACACCAACTCTGATTGATGATGACTAACGTGTAGCCCTGGACCTCATGGCTCACTTAGGGACTAACACATTAGAGGCAAATATAGTCCTTTAAAAAAAATGAGCACCATAATAGCCTGCACATTCCAGGTGAATTGATGTTAATAGCAGTGATTGTTTAATAATAGTTGCAGTGTTACCTGGAAACCATCTTGACCATCTTTCCCTGGAGTTCCCGGGTGTCCTTTGTCTCCTGGGATTCCTGGGAGACCTGGTGGTCCAGAAGGACCTGCGGGGCAGTCTGAGCATACATCCTAAAACACAGTGAAATATGTTTAGATAAAGTGATCCATACACAGACTCTGTTCTTTAAGGAGGGATAGAAATGCGTCTTACCTTCAGATTCAGGTCAGAGATATCTGCGGCCTTTCCCTGAGAGACAGAATGAAGGGTTTAATCAACCAGAGAACAAGAGCTAAGAGTCTTGATAAAGTAGGCAACCTAGGGTTCAAAGTCAGTTAGTCAGAAGACTAACAAGGTCCAGCACTGGTGTGGGGTGACACCTTGATCATGGACCATGTTTCAAATCATCCAAAGGTGAAGGACTTGGCAGCTCTTTATGGACCGGCTCTTCAATAGGGGGATTTTTGACCGTTGACTCCAGCATCTTATAAAGTAGCCAAGCACCTTAGCTCTCATCAGTGGGATAAAGCCTTAACCCCCCTTTGCGTTTACTCCACGTTTATTTTGTTGTTGCAATTTTCAGTACTCACAGGCTCTCCTTGTGACCCCTTTTCTCCTGGCCTTCCTGGCAAACCCTGCATTTGGAAGAAATGCAGGAATTACATTTGAAAAATCAAATCAATAAAAAATATTAATAACAAGAGATATAAAGAACTTTGTTAGTACCATGACCGATTGGACATAGTCCACTTTTGCTGTTGATATTAGCTTTTTACAATAATAAGGACATTTTAACTAAATATGTAAATACCATAGTTTCCAAGACAGGCAGACTCAACATTACAAATTTAAAAAAAATATGGGATGAGCGGCAAGTCCGCAGCCAGAACACTCTGGGATTTCTCTATAATGAAAGCTGTCCACATTATGTACCCATGCTTGTGCTCATGCATGAACTGTACCGTGCCACACCTCTTCCAAGCATGCCAGGGCCAAGGAAGTATGTGGATCAGAGCACTCACACTAGTCAAACGAGCTGGACTTTCGGGGTGAAGCGTGTTTAGGCACAGTACGGATTGCCTATTGTGAGTGCACCCTTACCACCATTGAATGCCAAGACCAACACAAGAATCTGTTGCACAGCACTACCCAAAAGGATAGACATTTAGGCATAAAGAGGGAGTCATGCTGTGTCACTGGATCAGAGCTGTTCATTAAAGTAGATTCTGTGAACCATTTAATGGGATTTTCCAGTGTGTGTTTGCAGCAAGCTAACAAACTAAGATATACGTCCAGGTCCATCTGTGAAAAAAAATATCAAATAATGAACTTATTTATTCATGCATTCTTTAAGACTCACGTTATGTCCAGCTGGGCCCTGAGGACCAGCAACTCCTGGTGGACCCCTCAAGCCCTGGAACCAAAATATACAGAAATTACAGAGACAGGTTTACTGGAACAAACATAGTCAATATCAATCTTTTTTTTTTAGAAAATGTTTTTACCGCAGATCCTGGTTGTCCATTATTTCCTGGAGGCCCCTACAAAAAAAAAAGGTTGTATAAGCCTGTGAATAAATTGCAAAAAAGGAATACAATAAAACACGACCTGGAATGCCAATACCTGTTGACCCATTTTGCCTTCTCCTGCAGGACCCCTTTCTCCTGGCACCCCGGGTTCTCCCCTTGACCCTGTTTGGCCCTGGGAGGATAAAGTAAAACATTTTACAGTTTTTTTCTCTATCGTGCTCCTCAAATAATGTCAGTTCAGCCATAATGTTTGGCAAAGAGTCTCAGTTGGCACAAGAACCTGAAACATTCAGCAATGCCTGCTGATCCCAGAAATACCACTCGGTTTTTAATCTTTGATGGAGAAAAAAAAAACACAATCTGCAGTTGACATTTCGGTACTCAGAAGAGAAAAAGTATCGTTGATGAGGGTGAGTGATCTGACACCATAAATCCAGTAACGCCCCCGCCCCCCCGCCCTTCCAGCCTAACCCAGTCTGCGCCCTCGACATCAAGCTCTTCACAGCGAGAAAAAAAAAGCGGTCATAATCAGAGCAGCGGTCACAGTGCAGTGGACATCGAAATTGCTTTTGCTGCTTTCAACAAAAATGAATTGTTTTTTCTCAACCGTGCCAGAAAAAAAAAGTTTTTCACATCAATGAATGAGCACCTGTGCATGATAAAAAATAAAAAAAACACCTCAGGCAACCTACATATACAAACACACACCCACACTTTCTTGCAAACTACTAAAATGACATTACCTTTAGCCCTGGGGGTCCTTGTATCCCCTGTGGTCCTGGGTCTCCCTGTAATATCACAAATCGCATAAATCAAATTGCTTGCTACAGTACTCAAACATCAGAATTAAGCCTCTTTGGAATAAACTATTTAGAGCTGCTGTTCATCATGCACGTGACTGATCCGAGGCCTCAGGGCCACACCTGGCAGCTGTAAATAAAAAACAGAACTGCTGTGTGCTGCTATAATGTGATATGTCTTAACAATGTTTTTCCTGTTTGTTACTGCTTCGTCAGCAGGATGGCCACATGTCTGAGGTAAAAAATGATGATGTTGAGCTGCAGCCCCAGTGTGCCTACTTAGGCTTGTTTGTTGCCCATGCAGACGGTCATATTGTGCTGTTGCTCAAAATGTATTACAGGCAAGCAGATGTTTACAAGCAGAGCACATGTGGAAGGAATGAGACTGAGGAGAGGCTCAGAAAGGAGGTTTCTATTACTGAAAGGGGAATTTCATTAAAACAATTTAATTGTAACTTACATAATACACATCAATACCTAGGTAAAGCCTTACTTTTTGTAGTCAACAACTGACATATCTTACAAAATGACCTTTGACAACATTCAAAGCTCATACTTCACAATGAAACTTTGACTACTTTCTCAAGATTTTGATTTGAAATGCTGAAATGCAAAATTTAATTTAGCTTTCTCCTTTCTCTCAAACTTTACAAGTGTTTATGTTTCACCACTCAGAACTTCAAGAACATTGTTGTACTTAAGGGAAATTAAAGGAGTAAACCTGGATGTTTTAGAATATAAATCAAATATCACCTCAGCGCTAAAGCACACAGTGAGGTTTCTTTCCTTACCAACACTAAAAACAATATTAACATAGCAAGGGCAGTGTCACAAATAGTTTAAAAAACAAAACATCACACTAGTTGTTGGCCCTTTAAATGCCCTAATAACAAATAACCTACAGATTAGAATAAAGTATAAAAGGGGCTTAATGCAATTTCATTATACACTTGAGGTTTACACAACCAAAAAGAACATGTGAGATTAAAAAAAGAAAATGTGTCTTACATTTTGGCCATCTTTCCCTTTCCCTGGGGGTCCGGGTGGTCCTATCAAACCGGGCTCGCCGGATAGGCCTGCGGGACCTGCTTGTCCTGGTTTACCTGATTCTCCCTTAAAATAAATGTTACAGTAAAGAGAAGATGTTAAGGTCTCTTGAGGCAACAAGTACATCCTTTGGCACCTTAAAATCTCAATGAAACTTGTCGTTTATAACTCCATGTTAGTTTCTACTTTTCATGTTCTCTTTACAGCCAAAGATTAAATGGTTACATTTGTATTATATGTTATTTATCATATCTCGTACATTAGTAACTCCTACGTTTAGCTGTTGCTGAAGGACTGTAATACATTCATAGACTTTTCTGCTACATCAATAACAGAGGACACACAAGGTGGCTCAAACAATAAACCCAACCAAAGCAGTAAATATCATTTTGACAAAGCACTGACCTTGTCTCCTCTCTGCCCAGTTGGACCAGGAGGCCCGATGATCCCTGGTATGCCCTAGAAGAAAGACAGCTTCTAGTTCCGTACAGAAGTAGTAGTTTATGTGCTGCTACAGATAGTAACAGAAACTACAAGCAGGTGTTCAAATCAAATCACAAACCACATTTAATGAAGAGACCTACCACATTCCCTGGTAATCCACGAGAACCTTGAGGACCAGCTATGCCAGGTGGACCCTGGGAGAAACCAATCAACAGTTAGAGTTAGTACATCTCCATAGCAATCTTTCTTATTTGGCCTTATTTGTATCTATATCAAACAACTCACAGGGTCTCCAACACGCCCTGTCTCGCCTGCAGGTCCACTGTCACCTTTTGGTCCCTAGAATGAAAGGGTTAATGAGATTCAGTCTAATCACTCCACAGCATACGGAATGGGAGGAAGAGGATCCCGAGCTTCTTACCACTGGTCCAGCTGGTCCCTTAAAGCCTTGTTCACCAGGTAACCCTCGTTGACCCTTTCAGAGAAAGCATATTAATTAACACGAGTATAATCTAAGTATAATATCCTGCTTCTCAGAAAACTCTGTTTTCAAAATGAATGAGTCCAGATGGCAAAGACATGATACTGATGTAGGTTGGGTTCCATGAATATAGGAGTTCTACAATATTATGTGACACACTTTATTAAAAAAGGTCAGGATGTAACAATACTCCCGACCCATGATACGGTACATATCACAATACTTGGTTCAACTCAGAAGTTTGTTAGTTACAACTTGCTCAATTTAATCCTAAGGCACCAATGTCTTAGTAATTCTCTATGGCTCTTGCACTTGTTTAGACTAGTGGTTCCCAAAGTGGGGGTCAGGACCCCATGGGGGGTCGCGAGACGCTGAGAGGGGGAATGATTTAAAATAGCATATTTTACCAATTACTGTGAAATATTCCTTCAGTGAGATTTGTGCCTGAAATGAAAGTAAAGACTTAAACAATGTAGGTATATGTGCGCTTTGTCAATAAAAAGGCACACTGAAATCATTATCTTAAGGCTGCTGTATTCTCTAGTGTTGTTCTAATGTCAGTGTTTGGATAGGCCTATTAGTGCGTGCTGCTGTGCGCAACGTTAAATGCTTTAACAACTTCCAGAGACAGAGAGGGTCCCCAGTTTGTGCTGGAGGGCATAGCATGAGACCTCTCAAACATAGTGATAATGTACATCCCCAAAGATAAATCTTTTTTTTACAAGCCCATATTTTATATCCAGTCTGAATTTTATTGTGAAGTATCTCTTTTACTAAATTATCCGCATCAGCAGGTGCTTGAGGAAGTCAAACACAGATGAAATGCATCTTTACTTTTTGTGTTTGTGATACTAAATATGTTAGGATAAGAATTGTGTGCAGCTTCCAGGTCAGCTTAATTTAAAATATGCCATGTATATTGCATTATACCCTTGCCCACCTTAAAGTAATGTACAGCTATAAACTGTGTGAGTTATATTGAATCAGGTTGGTACCTATATGTCTCCAACAGTTGTATTTATATGACCAATTAAAAAAGTCCCCGGAGCGCTCATGCTGTAGCAGGGTTGTTTCACTCTTGGCTTACCAAATCTCTGCTGACATCTAGTGGACTCTGCATCATATTGCAAAATGATGTTTGGCCTTAAAGAGAAGAACACAAGAATAGCTTACCATCTCTCCTGGTATCCCTTGATCGCCCTTATCTCCTTTCACTCCATGTAATCCCTTGAAGCAAGAACAGTAAAAAGAGGAGTTTTGATGAGAAAAAAATGAGAAGGGGAAGACAAAGCGAGAACAGAAGAAGCTTCAACTTTCATCATTTAAAAAACCTAATATCTTGTTTGCAGTATGATCTACCATCACAGATTTAGGAAATATTACAGGGCCGTGACTCTACAGTGTTTGAAAATTCAAAGAGAGCAGCAGGTATGTCACTTACATTTCCTGGAATGCCAGGCGGTCCCCCTGCTCCCACTTCACCCTGAGGCAAGAGACAATATGGTCACATTGTCTGCATGCTAATAACCTTATTACAGCTAATACAGCCTGTCCATTACTGGAATAGATGAACTAGCTGTGATTACTGTAACACAGTTGGAGAATATAGCATTTGAATGTACATTAATAGGTGCCTTATTTCTTATTTACCTTGTCGCCCTTTTCACCTTTTGGTCCAAATGGTCCAGCCTGTCCTCTTTCTCCCTATGAAAGGGGATCAAAATATAGATTTTAAAAAAAGTCTACATACCTTATTTGTACTTTAAAACATGAAAACAGGGATATTTCTAATAGGAAGGAAAGTAAAGAGAAGTGTGTCTCAAAGTGGCAATTAGGGACGCCCAGAAGCCTCTGACTCCCATGAGGTTACCCAGACAATTAGGAACAGTTAGTTCTACTACAGTTTGTTTTAACAGAAGAGATTTCTGTTCCATATATGAGGCCTCATGAGGATGTCCCCACATGCACTGTTTTAGAAATGATACAATGCAAAGTAATATGGAGTTGAGCTTGTAAAGTGCTTTCCAAGTCTTCTGACTATATTCACGCACTGATAGCAGAGGCTGCCGCGTAAAGTGACAAACAGTAATAACTATTCCGTTCATACACTGCTGACCAAGCAGAAGAAGCAATTAGTGGTTCAGTGTCTTGCCCAAGAACTCTTCGACATTATCAACAATATAGAAGAATCATGTAAAATAATAATATCTAACCCTGCATGAACTACTGGCTGTGTATAAGAAGTGGACAAAGTCTCCAAACTACAAAGTTTTCTAATCGCCAAGTGTGTCAGATTTTAGTGGTTGCATATGATGTCTGGTCGAAGGAGCAAATGATAAATCATCACATGTTTCTTGTATACTACATTCTAGTTAATTTATTTAGAGATGCTGATACTTCAAATTGCAGCTTACTTGCCAAACTAGCGCTAGTGTTATCTAATAACTTTTTTTCTTCACCTATTGCTCCTCACCAGCTGCACACTTTTGTCAATATCATCATTAAAACTTAGGCATGTGTCAGAAACTTCACACTTTCATACTATTCATGCTGACTTCACACTGAGTATGTTGTGTGAGCCCAAATCATAGTATGCAATTTTGCTTCTGTCATAAATACCCGTTCTATACTAGATCGGCCAGACTTTTTTAGTTTGAAACAGGAGCATACTGGTCATACTTAACCGCCCCACAATGCACTGCGGCTCTCAGACTGTCCAATCGCAGAGCTCGCCAGCTGGCACCTTAAAATAAAAGTTCTGTGCTGAAGTTTACTGTTTCCAAATAATATTAAAAATTATTTCTTAGCTGTATTAGTATTGAATGTTTGAATATAGTTGTTGAATTGTATTTACTGACCGACAGTAGCGCTAACTTGATGCTAGCTCAATCAAACTGAGCTTGGACCAGCAGTAAGTTGCGTGACCTATATTTAAGTATGTTGCTAATAGCATACTAACGGTCGGGTTAATAAGCATGAGTAAACTTTGGGTTTTTGAATATGTAGTCGGCAGTATGTAGTATGTGGTTTAAGAAACAGCCATGGTCCCTTCTAGCAAAAGAAAAAAATCCAAAATGCCAAATTCTAAGCTTTTAAAACATATGAATGATGTGCTAGGTGTACTTTTTCATAAAGTGTAGGGAGGAAATGCACATAATTGTCATGGTTATTAAAAAAATAACTCTGAGGGGCACAGTCACACTTACTGGAACACCCCTGTCTCCCCTTGTTCCAACTGCACCTCCTGGTCCAGGGGAACCAGCTTCTCCCTGTAAAAAGAGAACAAAAAAGATACATTTTACAATACAAGCTTACAAAATATCAGCCCAATAAGGTTAACAGCTGTTAACTCACTCTCTCCCCTGGAGGTCCCCTTGGTCCAGGAGGCCCGTCGTCACCCTGAGGACAAAATACACATCCATTAGAATGTCAGATTTGCATACGGAAAATGCTCATGCTATCTCATAAGCCGCACATGTCTGCAGTAATATCCAGAGTTTTTCTAGGTAGGATTAAGTGACAGTACCTTAGGCCCAGGCTTGCCAGGAAAACCATCTGCTCCACGCTCACCCCTGGGTCCCTGCAGAGACACAAGATTTGAATCTAGATGTGTATACCTGCAAAAATGTGTTTATGCCGGGAACATCTGCAAAATTACTGCGTGCAGTAAAGTTAACTCCAAAGCACAGAAATACATGCATTCTCTTGATAAAATATACATGTTAAGTAAGCTGTTCCTACATACAAAAAGCAAGGCCATTTATAAGTGTGTGTGGCGGGGGGTAAGGTTTCTGGGGCCCAGCTGCACAGGGTGGACTATAGAAAACCATTGTCAATCTTAAAAATAATTAACAATAACCAAAATGTTCTTAAAACCTAAATTTATACCTCTACCTATTAAAGCAACAAAATACACATTCCATTTATTGTTGTTTCAGTAAATTGAAGCCTGTTTTAAAATGTAATCCTTGTCTGCAAAACATTGTACAGTATGAGCCTTTTTTTGTGATATTAATGTTGTGGGCGGGCCCATCGATTGGACTGCTGGATAGAATTGTATTTCCAGCATTTATAAAGTTTCTAGAGATAGACACACCAACGCACATGTGTGTAGTGCTCGCAATGGCGTTGATTTGTTGCGGAAGTATAAACCAGGCTTTAGGCCAGTAATGTCAGACTGATAAAGCCATACAAGCACCAGCTCCAAAAGCTTATTGGAGCCAGGCAGAGGAGGCCAATGTTAGCTCGGAAAATGAAAAAAAAAAATTGAAAAAGGAATCATTCTCAAGACCACACTGACCGTTGCACCATCATTTCCTTGAAGTCCGTCCAAACCGTCTTTACCAGGAAGACCCTTCGAAAATAAGAAGGAAATGGTTGACATTTACTTTTCAGAGAAATGAAATCATAGATTCAAAACAGTACCAAGGTCCAACTCACCTCTTTTCCGGGCTCTCCAGGTTTGCCTGAAAATCCAATTTCACCAGGTAGACCCTACATGAAGGAACAGGTATTTAAACATGCTGATTATTCTCTCACAGACAGTAATTCATTGCAGAAAAAATTCCAATAAGTTAGAACTATTATGTCCCGATGTGTGTTTGTTTTACTCACAGGAGGTCCAGTGTGTCCTCGGGTTCCTGCTTGCCCAGCTGGACCCTGAGGACCCTAGAAGATTTTATTTATTAAATAAAAATCACATCGGTGACCATCAGTGATGGATGACTTATCATCATATAACTGATAAAATATTTGTAATCATATTCTTGTTAAAAAAAAAGAAAAAATGCTCCAGTCAGCAATTATTTTTTTCATTAAGACCAAAAAAGTAATAATAAAGCAGTTGTTACATGGACTAGTACCACAGATCAGCCACTAGAGGGAGATAGTGAAGCACCTTTTACAGAAAATTCTCCCTAGGATTTTCCTTCATACCATTACACAAGGCAGGTGTATTTCTATTTTGCTCCAGGGAGTCATTTGGAAAATTAATTACCATAACCTGTTGGTTTTGATCTAGCCTGTTTATTTTCCCTCAATTAAAACGCACACTGAAGACACCTCTGAGAGAGCAATAATTACGTAGTTTATGGGTCACATCAATAATTGGGAAAACCACTCAAGTAAAACGTCAAATTAACTCTCCTTCGCTCTCCTCAAGAGGTCATTGAGCTGCAAGCACTAACAGAACGGAATATTCTAAGGAGGTCATTTTAAAAAGGTGTATTCATATTTAAAATATATGTACATTTAGCTTGCTATGAAACTCAAAGTGTTCTTACAGGAGGTCCAGGAAGGCCGTCCACTCCAGGCAATCCACTTTCACCTTTTTTCCCCTGAAAGATCAATCAATCAATCAAACTTTATTTATATAGCACTTTTCAGACAAATTAAATTGCAGTTCAAAGTGCTTAACAAGAGTGCAGAAAAGTTATTGACAGAAAGTAGTTTATATAATCATTAAGAGACCAATGCACACCAATAAGAATTAAAAATAAAATATATGTATAAAAGTAAAATACAATAAAATAAAATACGACACATAAAAGCAACAAGATATTAAAATAAATATATAAGAGGAAAATATTTAAAATTGTAGTAGGATAAAAAGACAATACAGTAATGTTAAGATTTGAATTGATATAAAACACTATATAAAAGCCAGACTGAATGAATGAGTTTTACGACTGCGTTTAAAAATCTCGATATTCTGGGCTCCTCTCAGACCCTCAGGAAGGTCGTTCCACAGTCTCGGCGCGTAACAGCTGAAAGCAGCATCACCAAAGGTTTTTGTCCTGCTCTGTGGAACAACTAAGAGAGAGGAACTGGAGGATCTAAGGGGCCGTACTGGTTCATAAGCTAAAATCATATCTGATAGTGTAGTCTGGTGCAAGGCCATGTAATGCTTTATAAACTAATATTTTACTAACTAATTTAGTTTGATTAAATAAATGACTGAATTAAAAAAAAAAAAAAACATCTAATATATAAAGTTTCAAGGGCTGCTGACATCTAGCATTTTAACATCACATGAAAAAGAAGCAGAGTCATCTGTGCTAGCTTTCCACTCTTGTGCGTTTCATGGGTTTTTGGTAAAGTTAAGATTTACATACATTCAAAAGAGTAACATTGTTTTAACATACCTTACCTTGAAAGAGCGCTACAATACTCAAACATTCAGATTCACTAACACAGCAACACCAACTTATCTGTATCTATGTTACTGTCAATCAATCAGTGTCTAACAGTCAAGGCTGTTGCATGCCATTGAGTCAGTGCAGCTCCTTCTGTCAAAGCCTGCCAGTATACTAACAGCAAACAACATCTCTGCAAACAGATAGCTGGAAAGCAATGTGTCTTCAGAGCCCAAGGAGAGTTTGTTTTTTTTATTTTTTCTTTGTAAGCTTTCCATTAATAATGCTGTGTTGTATATGAACGATGCTTAAAGATGCTCGGTGTAGGAGTGCAAAGCCCTGACACACCTACATGTACCCATGCATGAATGTATGGTGCACTTAAGGGTTAGGTCTGAGGTTTGCAGATGTGGTCACCCTTTGATGAAATCCCTTTGAACTGTTGAAAGTGAACTGTCTAAATGTAGGCTTCATTTTATTTAACAAGCTATTTAAAAGTGCATAGCCTGGTTTCACGTATTGCCCCAAGTTTGTTAATGCTTTCCAGTTCAACCCTTAAAGACCGTTCCTACTGCAGTTCAGGCTGCCCTTTGCTGTCATATTAGGAAAGAGGTGAATGGACTGTCCTCATCCTTGGTTACACGGATGACTGATAAGAGCTTTTCTGCCGCAGAAGTGAGATCGACTCAGTCTAAACCAACTCAACCATATAGCCAACTCTATCAGCGCTGGATGCAGTTTAAATCAAAGTATCAGCTCTTAGTCTGACTTCACCCTTGCCCCTCTCCATCGCACGGTGCATCGTCAGCTGAGGTATAAAAAACAGTTATAGAGTATTGCCTTGGAAAGCATCCAATGGGACTTCAGCATGACCTCATATGGAATTATACAAAAAATAAACAAACAAAGGAGGATTTCACAGATAAAACCACCTCAATGTTATCTCTCTTTATATTTTAATAAAGAGAGATAATCCTTGATTCCAGAGAGGCTAGTCAGGCTGAGAACAAAGATCATTATGGTGACTGAAAAATATTTCATTTGCAGCCAGGAGAGGATTGTCTTGGCTCTGCTGAACAGCTGCAAATGTTGGATTCCAACACATTGCTGATTAGAAGTTAATTGTTCCCATTGGAGGGATGGTATGAAGGTCACTCTCTTTGTTAAATGTTTTGGTAGAGCAATTATGTAGAACCTCTGTGACTGTTTTAATTACACACTGCTGTGCATGATGGGACCACTGTGGTGTAAACAGGGGGGGAGACAAGGGACAGTGTTTTTAGATTATTCTACAAACGAAAGCTACAGAATCAGCTCTCATTAGCACGAGGAATAAATGTGTGTCTTTTTCAATCTAGATAACCCCACTGGACTGTGATAAATATGATAATGGGACTACAGTTTCAACTTCCAATTACTGCACATCAGAGTTTTGTTGTCCTAACAGAGCTTCTCTCGAGGCGAAAATGATTTAATATGAGCTCTGTAGACAGCTTTAGTGCATATGTAAAATGAGACTAAACCAGCAGATAGCACATAATCCCAAGACTCTTTGCAAGCAATCAATCTGTATTTGTATAGCGTCAATTCAGAACCAATGTTATCTCAACACACAAAGCAGCTCTAGGCCTTTCTCTTTGTTATACTGCATTATAGTATTTTTATGTAGCTTATTTGTTTTAGTGTAATCAGTAAATTAAGGCTGATTGGTAAATGGTAAATGTATTGAGCTTGTGTAGCGCTTTTACAGTCTTCTGACCACTCAAAGTCCATTTACACCGCAGGTCACATCTACACATTCATACCCTATTATTCACACACTGATGGCAGAGGTTGCTGTGTAAAGTGACCATTGGAAGTTACTAATCACATTCATATGCCGCCAATCAAGCAGCGAAGCAACTTGGGGTTAAATGTCTTGCCCAAGGACACATTGGACATGTTGCTGCAGGGCTGGGGATTGAACCCCCACCTTCTGGTTGAGAGATGACCAACTCTACCAATGGAGCCACAGCCCTCATTCATGCTGGTTTTACTATAAACTGGGGAAGCCATTCTTTACCATATAACCTGACCCCCTGTTATCTGATACACACAGCAGCACCCTGCTTAATGGAGCCAGGGTTACCTTTTTAAGGATTTAATTTATTTGATGCTCTTCATCAACACAGATAAGGTAACAAGTATCAACCTACCATTCCAAGCAACAATCATCTTTAACCAAGATTTGGTGACCTCTCAAATAAAGATGATTCCAGCATGTAGAATTCTAGAGCTTCTAACCCTGAATAAAGCCTTGAAGGCAAAGTTCAGTATTTAGCCTAAATCTAAAATGCCAGATGCACTAATATAAAGAAAGATTAATGAATTGACACTTAGGGCTTTCCTTTGCCAAACAAGTGGCTGGTTTGAAAACGTGCCCTACCTTCTTGATAAGCACTTAATTAAACTTGCATCAAATAACTTTCTATGCAGGACAATTCGACCTTAGAGAAAAGTGTACCAAAAGTTCTACTTGAATATGTGCTGCATCAAATATGCCTTTAACAACCAGTTACTGTGTTGAGCATGTGTAGGCACAGTTAAGGATCTTATCATTTAAAGTGGTGAACAAATTTGGCCAGGAAAAGTTTGGTAAGTATTTCATCAAAACAAGATTCTTACCCTCTGGCCAAACTCTCCAGGACTTCCGGGTAGCCCCTGAAGACCAGGAGGACCCTGAGGAAGGAAATGTATTCAGCTACAAGTCAAACAGCACAAGTGGTGTTTTAATTAACTGCTCAGTGCTACATTGGAACAGGTGGCTTTTCTGAGACAACAAAAACAACAGAAAGTGAACACCAGCAAAGAGGAACGTTTGTAGGAAGGAAGAAATAAATCATGGTTCTTACAGGAGGCCCTGGGGGACCATCAGCCCCTGGAGGCCCAGGAGGTCCAGAAACTCCCTAAAACAAGTCAAACACAGAAGCATTTATTACACATGTCAATTTAACTATATTAGTAACTTATTACTGTATTAAGAGATTATCAGTCTACACTGCTCTTTTTTTATGTTCAAGACATACAAACGTGCAATAAATAAATTCACACTGCATCAACAATCTGCTACAGGACAATACGTTCCTTATAAACACTAATTACATTCTGACTGATCGATTGATCGGGTGGTATTAGAATATGAATGTACCTGTTCGAAGGCAAACATGGTCAAAGTGCTGACTCACCTTTTCACCCTGAAGTCCGTCTTTTTGAAACTGAAATAAAACAACACATGAATAAAATATCAAATAATTTTGTCACGATATTCTCATCTCCTTCATGCTACCCTGATCTAACAGAGGTAATGAACGAAGGCCATGAAGTGCAACTGGTATCCAGCCAATAGTAATATGAATGTTTCATGTCTTCATTGACATCATATATAACTCTAAGGCTACATCTATAAGAGATAGTGACAGCTACCTCTGTCACATTATTTTGCCTTTTTGTATCTGAAGAATGAGAAAGGCATGGAACAAATAAAATATGATTTTGAATTTAGATTCATCTGTTAATTATATGTTGATAATTCCTTATAATTCCTTTACAAAACAACATTTTGAAGGAAAAAAGTAATTTTTTTAAGGAACAGCAAATATCTGATTTGCTAGTTTAAAAAACGAATCAGATTTTCCTTGAAAACAACAGATCAATTGCAATTAATGATGTGCAACTTGATGAGTTTATTATTCATGTGTAGCTCATTGTTTCTGTGGGGAATGCATAACCTTTGGGGTACAATGGAGTAGAGCAGGGGTTTACTGCAGTTTACTGTCAACTGTCACAAAAAACATTAATGATTCTGAAAACATTAGCTCACTGTCAGGGCATATCCAGATAGATACTAAATGACTGACGGACTTCAAAAATCATGGTTTAAAATTTGCAGCAATACGTCGGAATGGGACTTCAAGGCTGTTTATTCCCATGCATCCCAAGGCTTTCTGAGGACAGACTGAGATCCAACAGCTCAGACCCCATACGGAGGTGATCTGGCCCTCATTTATCAACATTGGCTAGGATGTGTAAACCGTCATGCGTCCTAGCTAGTATTAAGGAATGTATTGTGTACATGGAGAACAATGGTGCCTCCCTCTGGGTGGAAACGATGATACCTTCAGTCTTTTCAAAATAATTACTTTTATGTGAGGCAGGGAAGTGAATTCTAATATACAGTACTAAATGAAGATGCATTTTTAATGCAAAATGTTAACGGCGTACTGAAGTGCTGGCCACTTTTTATCAGATCACAAAGGATGTATGTTAATGCAAAGTGTAAACAGCCGCTTATAACAACAATCTTCTACCCTCCACTGAGCAACTCATGTTGTATTGTTATAGTTTCTAGGTTGTGGTCAGAATGGGCATTGCTACATCGTGCCGTTTTTATATTGGCTATTTTACAATATTTTGTGTTGCTAAAGGGAATAGCTGCAGAAAAAATGTGACTCTAAAAAGATAACTCATGGATTGGCCCCTGTCTAGACAGCAGCACTGATATTGTATGTGCTTTAATACACAAGTTCAACCGGTTTTATCCTTTTGTGCCCATTACGTTTCAAGGATATACGTCTAACTCTGTTACTCCATAATGTTCCTTGACTATACAAGCTTGTAATCCTTACAATATGTCTCTTTTATCGTTGTGGTATATTTTTAGTACTTACCACATCCCCAGGTAATCCGGGAAGGCCTCTCTCTCCCTGTGACACAGTACACACAGCAAAGATGGAAACCCCTTCATTAGAATCAAGAGACTTTCTGGGTTAAGAGCCTCAGGTTATATTATAATGATATGGCAACAACCATAATTTATGAGATGACGTGTGCTTGAGTATGTACTTATTGTGAGCCTTCAGTGAAAACTTATGTGTAAAGTACCACAATGGCAATTCCTTGTGTATATGTTTGTATGCGTGCATCCTCGTGCATGCACATGGGTGTGGCGTAAGCACGTGTTCACCACTGGAACAATCATCAAAGTCAGTAATTATAGACAGGCAAATTAACTCTGCATTTCATTTTCTCAGACAAATGAGTGGGCTGACTTTGATGGTACACAGAGGAGACAGAGGAATGTCTGGAGAGTGGAAGAGCATGGGAAAATGACAATGCCACTTTGAAATGATTTATACACTATCATGCTTACGGCAAAACCCTCACTAAATTGTTTCTAATCAAGTGAACACAGTGTTTTGCATACAACACATACCTTGGTGCCTTTAATGCCGCCTGCTCCGGGTGCACCAACAGTTCCTCTCAACCCCTAATTGATTTTAGACAAGAGCTTAATTAGCAACAAGGTGACCTACTTGACCTGTTGCAATATAATACGGGGTCTGTTTGTAATGGCAGGGTGTTCAAAAGAAGACAAAAACTTACATCTTGCCCAGGGACACCAGGCTTGCCAGGGAATCCATCCAAACCTGCCAGGCCCTAAGTTTACAAGAAAGCATGTATTGTTAACTGTTGAAGACCATGAAGATGTCATTATAATGGCTAGGTTATACAAAAATGACAGTGTCTACTCCACTTATTTAAAATTGATCTACAAAGATATGAGTACATCTTTATTAGCTTATCCTAAATAAGATAGTCAGGTCATGTATTTTATTGTTGTGAAAACCAAACAGAGATGTTCAATTGGTTTGCAACAGAACTTGACGTACTGTTAGCATCTAAAGCTACCACACAAACAAAGGCAGTAACTATGTTCTTATCAACAGAAAATCCAAGACAAAAGACCACCTAGTGAGGGATAAATGCAAAAATAGATGAGTTAAATTAGATTTAGGCACCTTCAGCCAGGCCATAAGTTCTTTGAGGCTGCGCAGAGTCACAAAACTCCTTCAACATCTACCACACTCAGTGGAAATATTGCCTGTGGAAGGTTATGCAATTACTTCAGTGAGCGGTACCCATGGGGGTTTTATGTCTCCCGTGTGTCATGTTTCACTAAACCATGTAACCCTACTAAGCAAGTTTGCTAGCTTGCTAACTAGCTACTAGCTTACCTTGGACTAATGTTATGGACAAACAGTTTTCAACCTAAGCTGCCTTCCATAGGAAGTGGATCAGCAGCAGACTGTATACTGTCGACCTAATGGGGACGTGGCGGTCTAGCCTGCTCACATTAGCTTTGGTTGGAACTCAACATTGGCTGTTATGGGCCATTGTTAGCTTACTAGCTAGTGATGTCCAGTTAGTGTTTTTTTTCTGATAGCCATCTACTGTCTTAAGCTATTCTAAATAAGGACAGAGAGTATATTTAGTACCAAAGAGTTGCCCAGAAAGAAACCACTGAACCCAGTGTCTTTTGGAAACGCTTCTCCTGTCCAGCTTTTCTTGTTCTAGCAAGATAAACATTACGGCCTGTATTTTAGAAAACCATAAATTCAGTCTTCAGTCAGATCATCACTACAAAGACTAAGAAAGTAGGTGGGCAATGCTATTATCCAACATGCTCTTAAACAAAGCGATTGACTACTATTGACTACTTATTTAAACTTGGCGGGCTTGTATAAACACAACACCCTATGAACATACCTAACATCATAATCTGCATATAACAAAAATATGTTAAAGTTGCATTTCATATTGAACAGAAAATTGTTTCTACAAGCCAGTGGTAATGCCAGAAGCCTATACTCATACTGGTTCTTATTTATACAGGCTATTGTTCTTACGGTATGCTTGCTAACTTTAAAAATAATGTGCAGTTAAGGCTGACGTTAGTTCAGTTAGTTATGTAGATATTTTGGTCAGTTAGATGTTATCCATCTAGCTGAGATATTTCTATCTGGACCAAAGTGATGCTATTGAATGGCATGCATTGCTATTCCAAAAAAAACATGCCATTGACATTTCTAATAGAAGGCAGTGTTTTTAACAGCACTGTCGAGTAATTCGAGACACATCCTTAACATTTCAGTGAGCAAACATTGCCTTGACCTCCACCCAAAGTGTATCCTCTAAATCACCTATTCTCTTTGTCACTCCACTGGGGTAAGTACTTTCCAGATTTTACCTACAGGAAATTGTTTACTGAATGACTGACTGGCTGACTGACAGCTCCAAGCCTGACATGCATGCATGCAATGGAGCTTTGGGATCCCTAGACCCTGCCACACATGCTCATGTCCCATGGCAAATCAATCAATTTACTGATTCTGGTTTTACTGCTTGAACAAATGTTTTAATTTAAATCCAAGTCAACATCAAAGCATGGTCCAAGAGTTATGTTTCAACTGTTAAGTACATCTTCCTTCTGTGGCTCCATCTGTAACTTGTTGTGTCACCAACGTTACGATCACAAAAACATCTTGAAAACTTGACTTTAGTGGGAAACTATTTGATGCTTGATAACATTTCACTAATTTATTTCACTAACATCAATGACATGCCAGAAGTAAGAAGGTGTTAGAAGTTCATAGGATACTGAAGACATCAACAAAGCTTCAATTGACCTGAATAAGCTGCATTATAGCCAAAAGCCCCCACAGATTCCCAGACAGGAAGTGTGGAGAGTGAATCAAGGGAGCCACATCTGTTTGCACAATTACGCCTCTCAGTGCTCTGTTCCTCTGAGAAGAATGGTCTCTCAGAAGTTAACCCTGTCGTCAGGCCTTACATTATGAACTATTTATTACAGGTTAAACCTGACTTCATGGTTCAAATGGAAAGGATGGTAAAACATGGAAAGTAAATAATAGACTTTCTCATGTTTCTCAGCAACCACTATTTTCGATAAGCAAAGCATGATGTTGCCAAGTAGGACATGTTGCGCTCATGTCTCTTTGTGCTTCAACAAGTATTCCAATATAGGGATAGAACAAAAAATTGAAAGAAATAAACTTCAGTGAAACTAAAGAAAATTCTTAACTGCTGTAAGTCAATTACCTTTCATCTTTATAACATTTACTGCAGGGTTAATGAGTTCATTTGTTAACTAGGAGCTGCTTAAATTATAGTTTTTTGCATACTTAATAATCCCTGAGGGGAAATTTTGGTTTTACACTCTAATATTAATCGGCAACCTTCCTGTTCCCAACTCAAGTCTCTACCGACTACGGTTCTGCTGACCCAGATCTGGATTAGAATAACTAAAATAACGACAATCAGTTTTGTTTAACTGTAATAACTTTTATGTGGAAAACTTTTCATAGCACCAAAGTTGTTAAAATGCTTATGTTTCAATACTTTTGATGCAACTTGTTTTAGAACAATACAATATCTGTTATTTTAACGGTTGATTGTGTCATCAAGTACTTGTGCTTTAAGAAAAGTGCAAATTCCATATTTTTAAACAAAAGATGCCACTAGAAGAGAGAGAGTACTGTCTTAATTGCAAAAATGTATTTGTGCTGGATTGCATGCAATTTCTGGTTATTAAAAACCAGAAATTACCCTTGGGTGCCTAAGACAGTTTTTTTTGTAGTGGTACAGAAACAGGCATCAATATTATGTAATATACATTATTATCATATATAAATGTAAATTCCTGGATTATGACAACCCAGAAAGCACAGAGGATTTTTAAAAAGAGCAGCTCTAGCCCAATGATGATGTCAGAGAGCTGTCATTGGCTGATTTCACATTGCAGCACAGCTATGTGGCCGACACTGACAAGTAGTGAGCTGCTTTAAATATACGGAACTGAGTCCAGTTAACACACTGAACAGCTCAAATTTGATCCCTTATATCAATAAAACAGCATGTTTCTGAAATCTTACATTTACTCCCGGAGTTCCCTTTTCACCTTTTGTACCAGCTTCACCCTACAACAAACAAAAGAATACCTTAATGTTTGTTCAAAAATAAAAAAATATAATTACTCAATAACAGGAGTGCAAAGTGCTTTCAGGATATACTCACAGTAACTCCTTTAGGACCTGGTAGGCCCACCATCCCTGCATCCCCTTGAATTCCCTGTGCAATACAAATTGAACAACATCACATTAGAAGATGTTATGGCACTCTCTAAAAGTGTCGCCCTTACTGACTCAGCACGGTAACACAGGACAGCTGGCAGACTGCTGAGTCAGAGCTGAATCAATGTAAAAAACGGTAGTGCCTGGCTTAGGAACTTGAAACCTCCAAAAAAGAAACAGCAGTTGTCATTGGACCCCCCCCCCAATGTGAGAGTCTTGAACTTTGACCTCCGACCTAGCTTTCATTCTTTGCTCATGCAAGAAAAAAGGAAGTCTGTCCTTTGAAATTCACTTGCAAAGTGTTTTTAGTCACTTGGGTTTTTGAGATTCTTTTAGAGGGTGTTCACTCTGATGTAATACACCAGAGTGGGTGTTGTTGTCTTTAACTGCTATTAAGCCCAAGAATAGCTATTTGACTAGCTGTTATTTGAGGCCATTACTTCAAGCTGTAGAGGCCAATTTACTGAAAATGTATGTTTCCTTTTTGCTCTGATTCAAATCCACAACAATTTTCAAACAATGAAAATGTCACTCAATTACCGTAATTCAGTTCAAAAAGCTTTGTTTTGTGACTGTAGAGAAAAATGCTGTGGTTTTTTATCTAGGCCTCTTTACTGAGCTCCTTTACTCCTTTACTCACCCATTAATTATCTAATTAATCAAATGTTTTAATCCAAAAAACGTGGAAAGGGATATACAAGTCTAGGTCCATTTATCATTTACCATCTACCTTTTTAACCAGAACCACCAACTATACTAACTCAAAATGAAAAAGGATTACTGAAATGTATAAATTATTTTATTTCATTATTTTATTTAATAAAATTCTGTCCAAAATATCACCGTCTAAATGTAATTCATCTCTATCACATTTTTATTGTCACTTACCATATTTGTTTTGTTTTAAGGCAATACATCACATTTTGTTCCATGTAAAATCAAAGCTGAGAAGAAGAGGGGAACTCGTTTTCTGTAATTTTCTGTCTAATTTTCTGTCTAATTTTCCCTTTTTAAGTTTTCTTGGTCGGTAATCTTTGTGTTTTATCAAAAGGGGGCAATCATTTCCTTCAGTCCTGGGTAAAGCAGCCTGCCACAATCCTTCTGCCACACCCAGGCCAGCACCCCTCCTTCCTCCTCCATCCTGGCTCTTTCACCAGCTGCTGCTTCATCCAAAGGAAAGTCAACTAAAACTCCTCTATTTAGAAAAGTAATCAATATAAACATATGTATGCCCACTTTACAGTGTCGAGACCCAACTGATTGTATTGGGGGTTTTTTGGACCCAACCAAATAAAGTAAATAAACCTCAACAACAAGGGGGAATTCCTGATGTAAAATTGTGCAAAGTACCAGCATCTTTGTCTGAGTATGTCCTGTGTTCGTATCCAAAATGCTGGGTAATAGGTGCCTTTGTATGTGTAGTGTTGAGCAAGATGAGCTGAATGGGTTTCAGGTATATTTGCCTGGACAGCAGGGGGATCCAGGGGTGGCCTGGTCCTCACCTGAAACCTGATGTGCTGCCTTAAAATCCTCAATCAATTATTTGGGCTGTGCTGCAACAGGCCACTAGTAGCTCTCTTTGCTCTCTGAGTTCAGTGCGGCACATTTCAGGTACAGGTGTGACAGAATTAAAGAAGTAAATTAGAGTATATTCAAACTGAGATCTACTTTTTTAATCAATTGACAAGCACTATTTAAAATGCAAGATGTCATTCACATACCTTTAATCCTGCTGGACCTGGCATCCCTTCTCCTCCAGGCACCCCAGTGGCACCCTATTTCCAGGAAGACATTCAGAGGAGAGTTTTATTTTCATATTGATATAAATGTATACTGCTATATTGTGTTTAAGAGCAACTGTAACAACCAAATTTCCCCCATGGGAATAATAAAGTATTTCTGATTCTGATCTGATGAAAACTGATATATTTATGCTGAAATATCCAAAAATGCATTTCTCACTTTGTCTCCTTTGTCTCCAGATAAGCCATCAATACCGGGTAAACCTCCAAGTCCCTGTCGGATGATTGGAAACACATAATTAATAACAGAAAGGGACTTTTTAAGATTGAACATAATGAGAGAAATCCTCCAGATGTCCTCCAGTGCCACACCTTCTCTCCTTTTTGTCCAGCAGCACCTGTTAACCCTAATGTTCCTCTATCACCCTGTAAACAGAAGGCAAGTATTAACTTTGATTTTTCTGTAATACATAAGCATGCAGGAGGGCCGGCGGTACAGGTTATGGTGCCGTGCTGTCAGAGGATCAACCTGGTAGTATCACAAAACGTGGTTTAGTACATGATGGTCGGAGATTTACAGTGGAACAAAGGAACCATGTTAGAGGTGATTATTGGACGTGATTAATTGAACAGTAGCACAGACATCTGGACAAAAGACAGATGTTACCATTACACACAGAACAAAAGGGGTTACACACGTTGACACTAAAACAAAGACAAACAAACTTTTGAGTAAATGTTTAGGAGCCAGAAGAGCTGTCCACAGCTCCACAAAACCCCACTTTGGTCTAGTTGCACATCCAAAGGTTCAAGGAACAATGGCTTCACATTGTCTCTTGAGTGTTTCACTTTTGGTTTGTACACTGATGGTGTATGACTTGCCAAGGAATCCCTTGGATTTCTGAAAGCAGGACTGAGTGAAAAGCAACGGCAGTTTAATCACATAGTCCCACAAGGTTTTGCCCACCACAAGACTCCCCTTTGCTTCAAAAACCACTTTACAAGTCACAGGCGGTTGCCCTTTAATTATTCTAGGAGCTTGTATAGAGAGATTAGGGGTAAAGGCCCGCTTGTGCCTTTTTAACGAAGAAGATATTGTCTTTGACACTGGCACATGGACAAATGCCTGTTTCCTAAGGTAAAGATGCAATTAGAGGCAATCACAGCGGTATAAATCCACTTTCACCCAATGCAACTGGATGACGGAGCGATCCATTTGTAACAGCAGCTTGGAAGTCAGCTTACGTCATGTCTTTGCATCAGCTTTACGAAAGTTTACAAGAACAAAATTGCAGCTTTTTGTGGGAGACGGTGAAGACGGATGCCCAAGCAGAAAGCAAGGAGTAGAAAACCAACGGGGATGCTCTGCATTAAAGTTTGATTTAATGCATTTTTATCAAACCAGTTTGGGTTCTAGCAGCAAGAACAACAACAGAAAATTAGTTTATAAGATATCAGTTTGCTTGCAGTCTGACTTCACTACCAGCATTAAAATACCTCCTTCATTTCTTTCACACAACAATTAGATGTATCTAGTATAGATGCTTTTATTATCCAAAAGCATTTATAGATACATACTCAAGAATTGAGAGCCAAAGTAAATAACATGAATTTAAAAACTATCTATTTTCTCCCAGACCTCCTGCGGCCATTTTTAAATGTCCCTTTTTGTACAGCTCGAATGATTCATGCCAACGTTTTTTGTCTCTAGCAATAAATAATACTGTGAGACTCCCAGCTGGCACTGCCAGGCAGCAACACAGGCTGTGATTTGAACTGGGTGGGCATCTGCGTTGGCCTGCCTTCTAGCTACGCTTGCTCTGTGGTAACCTGTCCTGTAATTCTGACAATAACAGCTAAGTGCTTTTTCCTTTTGCCACTCCCTCACAGAAGAGAGGTGAAATGTAAAATACCATATAAAGGGAAAAAACGTAAAGGAAAGATAGGAAAGACAAAATCAGGAGATGTGCATGCATATGAAATATGCACAGACTCGATGCACATGCAGAGTCGGGAAGAGCAGCTTTACTTACCTTCTCACCTCTGTCACCTTTGACAGAGATTACTTTGCCCTGCAAATAATTAATCAATCAGGATCAATTATTGTCGAGGCAGGAAAATGAAAGCAAATGAGATAATAGCTGGAAGGCATGCACTCTAAACTCTTTTTTTAATATGAATATCAATTTGGTTTAAAACTATCACAAAGCATTAGACAGAAGTTTCTGTAAATCTCTAAGAACACATCGCCCCATAAGGAGGAAAACAGTGGTTGTAAATGTGCACACTTCAAGTTTTCATACAGTTTCTCCCTTTTCTCCTTTGTTTCCAGTTGGTCCCACGGCGCCCTTAAGGCCAGAGTCCCCCTGAAACCGTATGTTCACACAATGAAATGATAGAACAAACAACTCTGGGGAGAAATTGAAGCTGTAATATTGTTTTCAGACACAATATAATGCTAAAAGGCAAAGGTAGATGACCTTTTCACCCTTAGGACCTGCTGCACCGGACGAACCATTCTCTCCCTGTTAGAAATGAAAATACAGACGTTGTTCCAGAGCCATTAAATAATTGATTCCCACTCAACCGTTGAAATAATAGACAAGGATGAAGCCAGGGAAAATGAGGTAGCTTTACCTTCTCTCCTGGAGGGCAAGAGCAGTTTGCTTGAGGTCCTCTCTGTTGCTCCGCAACTGTAGGTGTTGGAGTGGGGATCTGCACAGGGGGGGCCTCTGTAACAACTTTCTTTGGGCACTGAAAGGACACATTTAAAGCAACAGTCATGAACCAAAAAATGAGACAATGATAGTTTGGTGAAGGGTGGGTCTGAGGAGCATTATGCAGCTGGGGACCAAGAGGCCTTCCTCAAACAACTCCCTACACCCTCTCCCTGCACACTTTCACTCTGCTTGCACACTTTCACATAAGTCCACCACAGTGAGAACTGTCCAAAGCCTCTAAGTGTAGAGTGAGAATGGGTCATTTTCTAGTCTTAAACGTGTTTGATTGTTAAGTGTTTTATGTTGGTGGACTTGCAAAAACAAATAATTTTACAAAACAAGAAATGCCACGAAGAATATAGAGGTCCTGATTCACTCAGAATGGATTGCGGCCGCTAATATGATCTGATTCTGATTCTGATTCTGAATAGCTTAATAAATTGTGCATCATTTGCACACACTTTCTGCCCTGTCGCAAAGTTTAGTTCACAAAGCATTCAGCGCTTATTATATTCAGGTGCATTATGGCCAGAGAGTTCACCTGCAACATCCAATTTACTTTTGTTTTGCATCTGAATGCCAATAAATGCTGTCTGCAGCTCTACTTTGCACTCTCATGCTGATGGAGCTTTTTTGACGATGAGATAAGAGGGGGAAATTATTGATGGTTTATTTTAGTACACTCAGTTTACTGCACATTGCACATATTGCACAAGTTTATTTTTTCTTTAAATTTTATTTTATTTTATTTACCATTTTGTACCTTTTGCACAATTTAGAATTTATTACTGTAAATATTATTTATCTTATTTTTACCTCATTTTATTTTATCTATTTTACCTTATTTTGGTTATATTGCACTGCGGGACGGAGACAAACGCAATTTTGATTCCACTGTATGTCTGGAATATTTTGAAATTGACAATAAAGTTGACTTTGACTTTGACTTTGATGCCAAACTTATACAATGTACAGTAATGTCAGTTTCACCATTAAAAACAAGGCAGGCAACTGCTTGGGGCCCCAGGCTAATAGGGACCCCTTATGAGGGCTGACAAACTTCACATCAAAGCGCAGGCTCAAAATGTGCAAATTAAGCAATGACAGTAGGAAACCTCCTTAAGGGGGCCCAATCTGACATCACTCGATCTCGTTGCTCTGCTAAGTGTTGTATGCTTCATTTCTGTGAAAACCAAGTTTGTCAATGAAAGGAAAATGAAGAGGAATTATCCTTCTGGGGATAAAAAAAGAGGTGCAGGCATCTGGACTCTGCCAGACATGATGTTGATGAACGCTGGTTGGGGGGTCCTTATGGAGTCTAGAACTGCTACTGACCGACGCCCAGGGACACTGTTTGCTCTGCAGCCCTTGGGTGCATTTAACCCCCTGCATGTGTTTTGTGTCGGTGTCTTAAAATAACTTCCTGCTTGAAAGTAATCTGAAAATAGTAATAATTTTACTTCTGTATACTCTGTATATCCTTCTTATAAGTAACACAGTTATTTGTCAGTATACCTGCAGAGAACTAAAGCTTTAATACATTTATGTGGTTGGGCCAAATTTGGCAGGAGATTTGAATCACTGCCTACAATACTCACAGGTCCATTGGGTAGATCGCAGCAGGTTTCCAACTCTGCATGCTTGGAGTCACAGTAAATCATCATCCTTTGTAGGTCAAACTGCATGAACAGAGGCAGACAATTTATAAACAGATCAATCCCAAGAAATTAATCTTCACATGCATATTACAACTCCAGAATGATGGACATGAGGAGGTTGAAGATGAAACACTCACATCAATTGGCACACTGTCATATAGTCTCTTCCCAATCACTGTCTTGCCCTGGATGTCAATGTCCTCCCTGTCTTCAATGGGCAGAGTCTGGATGTGTTTGCAGTCCAGGTACAGAGACACAGACTTGGCCTCCACACTGAGGGCGATCTTGTGCCAGTTGCGATCAAACAGATTGTCGACTTCTTGGTTCTTGAACACAGCTCTGACAGCGTCCTTTGTCAGTCCGACAGCGTTGTACTCCACGGCCTTGTTCTCTCCATCCAGGCGGATGGACACCTGGTAGGTCAGAGGCACATAAAGCTAATGTTAGCTGCTGTAAAATATGGGAGTTCACGAAACCCTCTTATGTGTTTCGGGGAATTCTGAAATGATATAATTACACAAAGTGTTTTAATTTAAGACTTCCTTTCAAAGACACTTGGAGTCTATGTGTGATGTTCTTTGTCTTGACTCACTTGAGTGAATCACTCTCAATAATGAGATATTTCCAGATTTAACACCCATTCATTATAAAAGGGTCTGAATCTGTGAGGTGGCCTTTTTCTAATTTTGTATTTTAACTGGCAGAATGTATGCACCTATTAGGCACATTTATAACAATTTCCTTTCAACTGACCCACCTGTGGGATACCATATTTGTCGAAAACCTGCCAGAGATACCAATCCTCACGTCTTGAGGTTTTCCTGAATTTGAACGTTGTCACATAGGCGTATTCGTCAGGCAGCCCTTGAGGAAACACGTCCCTGCAGAAAAAAAAAATATTGTTATTGTTAGCACAAACTGTGCTTTTTTGACTCTGCTTATGTTATAAAGTCTCAGTGAACCCATTACCAATCCAACAAAGACTCTATGTTTCACATCGTAGCTGCTTGTCTGTTTTTAAGGAAATTCCATTTCCTAAATTTTAACATCAACTGTAAGAAGTGACATTGACTGGTGACCAGCCCAGAGTGTACCCTGCCTCTCTCCCAATGACAGCTGGGATAGGCTCAAGCCCCCGATGAAGGGAAAAGTGGCTTAGATAATGATTGGATTGGATGGATGGATGTAAGAAGTACTGATAAACTAGTTTGATCACATTTATTGAAATCCATGTGATTAAACTCTTTATATTCCATGGCTTTGTTAAGTACTTGATTCTGATTGGAAAATAAAATGACATCAGATGGACTACTTTTTAAGAGGACTTGATAGATCATTTTTAACTCTCATGTCTTGTAGGTTCCTCTGGAGCGTTGGTGGGGATGGCCTGCTGCCATGGAACCCCTCTTAGAAGGACGTTTTTGGACCTTTCTTCTAGCCACTGTAACTTTGCTAAACGTTGCTAAGTGCTGTGGTCATGATGGATTAACTAATAATCAAATATCAGAAAAATCATCAGATTTTACATTTATGTATTGTAACTATGTAGGTACAAACAGCAGCCAGTCAGCCAGCTGCAGTTTATTCAGATACAAATAAAACACATAATGTGTAAGTGGGTGAGCTTAAAGGATGCTATTAGGTGAGTCTAAACTTTTTGGACATGCAGTGCCAAGCTGGACTAATAAGCTACTTCGCTGAAACCTCATAATTTTACCCTACCTCCTTTAATGTGGATACTAATATTTCTAAAATGTTTAACTGTATCATTTTTTTTAAGATTCATTTTGGGCCTTTTTTGCCTTTATTTGATAAGACAGTGGGTGGAGTAGAAATTGGGAGAGAGAGTGGGGAATGGCATGCCGGAAAGGAGCAGCAGGACAGACTTGAACCTGGGGTCACCTGCTTACTATAGCCTAACAGTTTACCTGGCCCTCTGCACCCCTAAACTGCAAAAAAGCAAGGCTAAATGACACAACTGAAAACATCCCTGCATCCCAACAGGCTTTAAACCCTGACTTTTTAGTAGTTTTGTCTTTTAAATGAATCGTGTGACAAAATCTGTCATGACACCGATTATATTTGTTTGCAGTGTAACAGTAAGGTCACTTACTCTGTTTGCTGTACAATTGGCATGGTGCCAAGGCGTACGTAAGAACTCTGGCCATCATCATCTCTGGTTCCCAGAATATCTCTCACATTGAAGTGCTCCATCAGGTCGAACCCTGCAGTGATAAAGTCAAATAGTTGGAATCAAGATAATCTCACATACACACTCATAAATCAACACATGGGGTTAAGTTAAGGTTTTGTCAAATTTTTTGGGATGTACCGAGGTTTAATTGGGTCAGTACCACCACACCCTGCAGCCACTTTGTATGAGGCTTTTGAAGGGGGAAAAAAATCTCAGTATTGTTGAATAGTTGGAAAAAGAGTCTTATGTTGGCCATTCAGATTGATTTGCTGCCAAAGAAAAAACAGGTTGCCATTGCTGGTAAGGTCCTCATGTGAGTCTGAGAGTGTATGCACGTGTGTGTGTGTGTGTGTGTGTGTGTGTGTGTGTGTGTGTGTGTGTGTGTGTGTGCATTGCCCTGCAGCGAGGCATTTGAAGTGGTGTAACCACAGACCATATTTAGGTGGTTTAGAAAGGACACTCCCTTGTAAACAAACAAGTGCTGCTGCTATGGCAATGCCAGCAGGACGAGAGCTTGTAAAGCACTAAAGCTGCGGGATTGTCCAGCAGATCTCGCGGAAAAGCTGGTGGTCTCGTTGTGAGGATTGAGCACTTCCGAAAGCAGACTGTGCCATTAAGTGAGCCAACAGGGTGAAGACAGACTCAACATATTTCCTTCATGGCCTAGTTATGCTGGGAAATCTATGAGATTTAATGTTTCCAGTGGGAAAATTAACACCAGTGAATTAATCTTCTTAAGAGGAAACCGGAACATTATTCAGGTGGTAATGTGAGAGGCTGGAGAAAGATTAGTGGATGTCATTAGAAATAGCCTGGAAACAGGTGGTAAAGAACACAGGCTGCCCCTGTGCCATTAGCAACAGAGCGAAAAATAACGGTTAAAAAAAGCGCCTTTATATCTCACTGGATAAGTGAGGGGATTAACCACCAGACACAGCTGCTTTGTGCGTCAGGAAAGGTCACCAAGTGTCTGTAGACTACTGTTACTTTTTGACAACTTTTTTTTCAGATGCCGCAATTCATTTTGGTACATTTTTTCCCCATTGCCATAGAATACATGCAACTAATTGGAACGAGAAAGATAAAGTCTGCTGATTAAGTCTACATTTAAAGGTTTTTGAATACTTTAAAATCAGAGCTTAAATCCAGAATCAACAACATGGCCACTGGTAACATTTTGGAGTGAGTGATCAGGTTAAGTAGCAAATGTTTTTTCAACACTCAGCTCCATACTTTCATACTATATAAATAAGACGTTTTAGGATTATAAGTATCACATAAGGGTTGCTCGAAGAAGCCATGTAGCTTTGTATTTTGCCGACTTAGTGTCTTTGTCACTATGCTGAGTCCGTGCACAGTCCCTCACTGCACAGTTCTGTGGCTGTTTGCAGGCCATCTCAGAGCAGAGCTGTAATTTAGACTGGCTGTGTATAGTGTATAATCAACCTAAAAAGTTATTTTGGACAGCCAAAAAAACGACCGATGGGGCGATCTGCGGGAAAAGCCAGATGAGTTCACTGACTGGGAAAGGCAAATGCATGCACACAGCATTCTTTTGATCAGAGCAGATGGCAACGTATGTGCAGTAGATAGTGAGCACAGACTTGCAAAGACACTCTGCAGCCTCCTGTGTGTGCTCAGTGCGCCGAGGGGTCAGACCAGACAGCCCATGATAAACACAAGTCTGACTCAAACCACAGCTCTCTTGGCTGTCAAATCACAATCAGAGGCAGATAGACTTGACATTTCTCACAGAGCATTACACCCTCTCTGCACCAGCGTGGAGCGTGCTTTGCTTATATACATGAAGGAAAAATGTCTATGTGCTTGGCCACAATACGGAGAAAAACGTACTTCACTCAAGTACATTTGTATGTCCTAAAGTAGTGGTTCTCAACTGGTGGGTCAAGACCCAGAGGTGGGTTGCAGAGCCATTTTCAGTGGGTCGCAAAATGTACGCCTGGAAAAAAAACTTGTTCAGAAAAGCCTGTGAAGCACTTTTTAAACATGTTTGTTTTTTTCAGTTTCTTGCTTCTGTCACATGTTTTGTACTGATTGAGGTAAATAAACCTGATTAGTTGAAAAATATCACAAATTTGTGTCATGATTTTCACAGAGGAGTTGGTGGTGGGTCCTGAGGCTAGACGAGTTGAGAACCACTGTCCTAAAGCATTTCCACAGTTACAGACTTAAGTTACCCCCAGACATCATGTCAGGGAGCTTTAGACCTCAGAATGATGTGATAAGACTTTTTCCCCAAGTGGAACCTGATACAGGTTTTGGCTTTCAGATCTGATCATGACCCAACTGTGTGAGACAGCAGTGTGACAAAACCAAAAATCTCACACTGTGCAAACTTCTGATTTAAAATGAAAGCTTAACTTTTCGGGTGACTTGCTGTGTTGACCCTCTTTGTGTGCCTGTGGTGGTCCTCACAACACTGTGGGAACTGTTATAATATGAAATTAAAGTTCCTGAATTAGAAATTCTTTAATATAAGAGTAACTGCAAGGACGGAAATGATTACAGTGCATAGAAGCTCTTAAGGGAAGACTATTTAACTTGTGGTGCTGGCAAATGTAAAGGAAGTATAAATCAGCTTAGTGTATATATATTTATGGTGTATTCCACAATAGCCTAGCTGTTGGTTACAAGAAGAAATTGAGTCACATAATTTTCCATCTAAGCAGGACTTTGTATTCAGTTCTGTAAACAAAACATGGCCCAAAATAATTTATTCCAATTAGAGCACATCTACAATGCTGTGCATTGGGGACATCTCCTTAAGAAAGCATCAGTGGCCTTTTGTGTTTTATCTAAAGTTTGTTCTAATTAGTTTGTGGCTTTTAAAGGAAAATCATAACCACATAATTAACACTTCCCCAAAGGAGAGGATCTGATACTCTGATAGTCTCGACAGTGGAAAGTGGTGCTGCCAGCTATGATCAGAAGCACACACTCATCGACTCTATACAGCCAAATCCCCCTTGATAATCTGTTTTTTTTTCCTTGGTGAATTTTTTTTCGCTTTGTGGGTGCATCAATTAGTGACATCAAACTTGAAGCTTTCTGTACCTCACAGTGGGAAAACTCTATCTTGGCAGTCACAGACAATCTGCAGCCTGGTGTTTTTTTTCTGTTATGAGTTCTATGGCTATGCTGATTTCTTTTATGGTTCTTTTGTTTATGCCTTAGTACCAAGTCTTGCAAGTTTAATTAGCTGAGACGCTAAACTGGCCATTGGAGTAAATTAGCTAATTTGAGTTTGGAGCCCAGTGATGTTCTGGCAACATACCCTGGTTATATCCTGTGCATCATCACTCAACATATCCTTATTTCTTACTTGTCCAACCCATGTTTGACAATTTGTTATCAAAACGTCATACCTGGTGCCCTCTTGTTTGGAACAGAATTGAAGGTGTTCAAATGTGTTCAGTGGTTCAACTTTGTAAAACACTGCTTTCACTGCTTTGACATCTCTCTTTCCATGAAGTTCAGCATAATAGTAGTCCAAACAGGCATTGACTGGGCATCTGTTTTTCCTCTTAGTGTGATGGATGTGGGTGGGAGACATGGACAGGAACTCAGATCCCCCAAAAGACTAACTTGTAAAAACATCCTACCTTTCTGGATAAACGCTATTCAAGAGTTCTTAGAAACCTTTCACACAGCAGATTGGAAAGAAAATCACGGGATGAAGGACTAGTTATGCCTTTCACTTAGTAGACAACTAGTTCAACTGCTGTACTTTGAAATAATTTGTGAAATGGCCTCATTTGCAACGTCATGTTCAGGTCTGTATAGTATATATAACAACACAGATGACTCCCAGTTTATAAAAAAAAACAACTGTGAAACGACCCTTCGAAGTATCAGTAAAGGATTTTGAATTTAACCCAACTTTTCCGGATAAAAGTCCCACATTTGCCTGACACAACAGACTTCAACGACACGTCAAAACATTAAGCTAGAAGAGAGCACCAGATGAGAACTTGATGAGTTGGCATTGAGAATAAGCCATATTAATTTAGCAACAACCAAAATCATGTAAGCTTAGCTGGAAAACTGGATGCTGTGGGAAACACCTGGCTTGGCTTTTTCTTTTTCATTAGGGTTGAGAAACAAACAAGAACAAAACTCCTGAAATGTCCTGAAATTCTCAGAGTGAGTTTGTTGCTTCATCCACCATTGCTCCTTGTTCTTTTTCCATTGTGTCCTGCCTCCTGAGAGCTTACATCTCCTGTTCAACAGGGATAGCCTCCTGCTGTGAGGCGCATGTGTGAACAACCAACTCAGGAAGATAGCAGGGGTTGCCTGCTTGAAAATGTTTCATGAGTGCATATGTGAAAATTCTTTTTTTTCTGCCCAAAAAAACTAAACACTTTCCAAAGTGTCAAAAAATTCCTTTGATAATGGTTACTGAGAAATTTTCTCAACAGCTAACTTAATAATCAACACGATTTGTTGCACAATTGTAGCAACATGTAGACACTTAAAAATACAATCAGATAGATGGAAGCCTGTAACAGGGATCCATATTTCTAAAATACAGGAAATTGGTATCTAAAACGGTTAGTTATGATTCAATCTTTGGCCAATACAAGCCAGATATTCTGCATTATTTTGAAAAAGATTACTTTCTATAGCAGCAGACAAACTAGATAGAAATGAATGTGCCAAAAGAGTCATGAATAAAACACATTCTGATTCCAAATAGAAATAGACCAAATTGTGATGCATTGTGAGTGTCTGTGTATTTGCATATAAAAAAGTTCCCCTTTGTCTTTTCTGATGTTAAAAAAGCAAAATGTGGGGGTGTAGGAAATGCTTTGAAAACAAAAGAGCTGAGTCTGCTGTTGCAAGAATTTCCAAAGCTGCAATGTTGCTGTTGGGAAAGCAGCATTTAACACATACCTGGAACCTCTTCAAGACCATAACTGGTGCTGTTGGGCTTAAAGCGATCCGGTTGGACCTTCATGTTTGGACACAGGACATCTGAGGAGAAAAGACAATAGTTATTTAGAATGTCTCTACATTATGATGATGATTTTTTGGGGAACTTGGAGACAACTTGTTGAAACACTTCATGGCAACATCTTTACCTTCCTGTTGGAAACATAATCATGTGCAATTTTTTCTTACAATGAAATTTAAGGGGAGTCGGACCAAAATGGCGTGAAGTCCTGGGTTGTTTTAGGAAATGATCTCACTGAAAAGCAGCTTTGGTCTGATATGGGATCTGCAGAGCACTGAGCGGACAGACTGCTTTACATTTCTCCTGCCTGATGTCTGGGGAGTGGGGTGTGCAGGTGGCAGGGGGCGACACATCAACAGGCCCAAGAAGCTGCTACAGTTTAAATTTCAATGCACACATACATGAGTGATGGTGATGACAGTGAGAAAAGCGACAAGGTCAGGAAAAGTTTTTATTGGTAGGAGGGGTATTTTTGTCAGGATGCCAGCTTCACAACTACTTAACACAGATATGGGTCCTATTTAGTTTCTTAGATGTAAAAGTTGGCTTATAGATGAAAATTAGATTTTTTTAAAGGGTTACTTTGAGAAACCAAAAAAACAGTGATAGCCAGACTTAGCTGTTAATAGTTTTTGTAAAATCAATTTTTTAGCAGAGACATACTGTACGTTCCATGTAAACTTGTGTATTGTTTCTTTGAGTTGATAATGCTGTTTTTTAAAAGGTACACTGCTCGTGAAATTTGACTCGTGACTCGTGAAAGCATGTAAGCACCATGAATTCAGGGGTGGGATTGTTCGATTTCCATGACCTCTTATCAATGATCAGCGTCACTGATGCATCATTTTTCATTAGTTTGGTACCTATATGTTATGTTAAGTCTGGTCCACTCAGCCTACTGTACTTAAAACAATTTATTTATGCCTATTATATTTGGCTACTTTTCCACTCTTTCAATCTAGCACAATTACATTTTCTTTTGGTACATGACAATGAATATATTTTTATTTAAAAAATGTGTTATTTAATTGCTGCCAACAAATTTTTGTTGTGTTCTTTTATACAATGACAATGAAGTGCCTATCTAAAAAACACTTAACATGCTAACATGCTGACACACTAAACTAAGAGGGTTGGGGTAGGGGTTTAAAAAAACATACATCATGTGCATACAGTTACATAAATGAGGGAAATAGGAGCAAGTAACCAACAGAAATTAGGTGACAATCGATGATTTCGGACCAAACAGTCTTGGAGACTTTTTGAAGATGATGAACTAGGGAGATGAACTCGGGAGTTCCCTGAGAATGACCCACCACGGGGCCTTTAAAGGTTCCTCTGAACCTAAGATCTAGGATCTAAAATAGTTAATAGTTTCTGTGGTGGGCAATCAATGAAAAAGGGGGAGAGTCCCAGAGCAGTTCCTAGAACTATGAAAAGGTTCCTGCTGTCCGAAAATGCCTACTAACAGTAGAAAAGGGTCCGTTTAGAAGTCATGCTCTGGATTCAATGTATGCCAACAATTGGCATACTTAACATAAGAACTGAGAGGTGAGGTAATGCTTTGTTTTATTAATAGTTGTGTTAGCTTGAAGAAAGAGACATCAGTATAATTTTATAACCAGTGCCAAAGTTTTTAAAGTATGACATCATACTTGTCAGCCTAGCCAGTGAAGCTGATATATGTCCATGATTATTACAGCAGTTAGTAGGCTGATGTTATAACGCTGCACAATGCATTACTGTTCTCTACAGAGCGGTTAGCATGCCTATGTACTCTCATGGTTTAAAGCTACGGTGACAAACTTTCACTTTGTGTGGAGCTTGGAGACACCTGTGGACTACGTATATATATGTCTTATTTGTTTGCTTTACATTTTATACTCTAACAAAAAGTCATCTGCTTGCTGTCTTTTACCTGTGCATTGAATGAATTTGTCCACATAAAATGTAAATAAAGACACTTTGTGTGCTGAAAGATACTTTGACACCAAACAGGTGGCAGCTGTAGCAGGAATTTAATAATACTATACTTAATTCTCCACTTGATTTCGTTTTTGTAATTGTTTTAATTGGAAATCAAAGGATCTAGTAGTCATGTCAGTCTTTTCATAATCAGCTCAAAACTCCAAGCAGGAGCTGTTAAGTGTAAAGTTTTAGTAGAACTCAGCGTAAGTTCAAGAAGGAAGACTGTTCATATTCTTTCACACATCCATTCATTATTCTTCATTCAACTTAGTCTCTCCCTCTCTCTTCCCGCCCTGCTGATCAGCTGATTATGACCATTTACTCTTTAATTACTAAACCAACCAGATTCAACCATAACTTCCTTCAACCAATCATCCTGCTGCTGTCAATTGCCGTCAATCCTCCACCCCAGTCACACTTTTCCACCTCCAGTGTCTAGACTCCATCAAGCGGGGATTCTATCCTTTTGTCGGCGTCACCACCGCCTCCAGTAGAGGAAGACATGATGAAGACATCATGATGGAGTGTAATGGCCAAAGACATTTCAAGTTTATCTCTCTATAGAAAAGTCATGCCCAACATCAAATAAAAAAGTATAAATCATAAAGCCATGATGATGTTAAGTAAGGCAAACTCATTTAAAACTATCTCAATCAATCAATCCATTTTTATTTGTAAAAGTTGTGATATTAAGACACAAAAAGAGAGGGTCTAGATCGTACTCTTTGTTATAGTATTCATCCAACATTAATCCACCATGAGCACAACACGTAGCAACGTCTAGCAAAGTAACAGTAGCAAATAAAAACAGCTTTTTAACACTCAGAAACCTTGAGCAGAACCAGCCACAAGTTGTCTAAATAAAAAAAATAACCTCATCTCATCCTCTTTATACTGCTGCAGACTGATGTATCCAATTAAATGAAAGCTTGAAGTTTCAAGTTTTAGCAAAACAAGTTCCCCATGAATAAAACCTTCCATCATTCCCAGATGGCAAACGTAGATTTTCATTCTGATTATTAGACTTGACAGCCAGCCAGGGTCTTGTCATCAGTATTTAATCCATCTGTTTGAAGGGCTTCCTCATTTAACCTAAAAATAGCTGAACAAATTGTCTAAGTCCTGACTGTCAACCCTAAATATCATCTGGGCCAAAAATATCAGTGTAGCACTCTGGCTTCCCTAATATATCAAGAATCTGCCAAACATCTACCATCTAACTCTGGTTGTCTTAAATCACAGATAATATAATCATCCTGTCTCGAGTAACTTGCAACATCAATATGAGGACAACGCTTCTGTCATGGCTTGGTTTTCAGTATTATGCAAAGCCCAAAGCATGCCTTACAGGGAAGCTAAGCAACTAATTTAACTCAGAGTCGATCCCTGATTGTGTCTTTCGACAGTTTGATGAGAAAAGAATTGAAGGGACTTTAAACTCTTCATTTTCATCGTGTGTTCAAGTGATGTTCAAAGATCTCTGTAAAGATGCTTGGTTTATGTCTAAAAGGTCAGGAAGTCATACCAAAAGAGACCTTACTCTAAATGAATGGTCCGGCGTCACTCTTTTTTTTTTTTTAAAGACAATGTTTTTGCACAGCCCTGAGAATTAGCAGGCTACACCAGCTGAGCTACTCCCTGCACTTGTGGCCCTAAAGCTATAATTTAGGGATCTGACTGTGAGTTAAAATGGAAGCAATGTCAAACCTGACTTTGGAAATAATGTCTCACACAGATTCATTGTCTTATCATCTCAATCTTAACCTTTGCATACCTAACAACCTTGTTTATTTTAACGGTCACTGATACATCTTTAATTCATACTATTACCTGTCCCCATTATGGCTGCCGGGTTTAAACATACTCTCGCTGTTAGCCAAGCGCTTTGATATTTGAGTCCTTTGTCGCTGGGGTCATGGAAGGTCAAGTGTGTGATCCTATAGGTGGTTGAGGCCACACATGATCCCATGAATCACTACAGCAGATAATAAGTAGTGCCCATTTTTAAACCTATAGATTAGAAGGTGAAGACATCTGACATGGACACTGGAAACTGCTCTGGACCCACTTGAAACATTAGGGCTATAATTTTCTGAATGAATATAACTTGGGCTTTTCAGTGATCCAGTCGTACTGACCACTGACATACTTAGAGACTCTCTTGAGATTACAGAAAGAAAACACTGGAGCTACAATTCTGCGTACATTTAGCCTTTGGTTAGTTCTGTAGGGCATTTAGCACTAAACTTGCATGCACAGCATTTTCTTTTTAATATATAAAACCCAACATTACTAGCTGACAGATTGAAAGTCTGAGTCAAGGAGGAAGGTCAAAAGATCAGTGGCTTTAAATTGAATCACCATTGCGGTCTTGCACAAGATTCACTCTGAAATATGATATGCCCTTCAAAATATTTGATTTTAGAATCTGATTCAACACGTTCTTCACAGTAAACTCTACAGAGTAAAGATTAAAGCAAGAACTGGTACTGCTTGTCTGTGTGCTGAACCATGCAATCATGTCATTCCCGTTTTTGTATTTACTGTTTGTGGTGAAGGCTCATGGCATCCTTTTCTTTCCTGTCTGGCTAATTTTAGGCAGGAATTTAAAACGTTGGAGTGCAAAGCATCCATCTACTCCATGAAAACACTCACAAGCAGATAGTTTCCTACACAGCTACCCAACATCATGACACTGTTACCTTAGTTTTAAGCTTGTTTTAGCCTATTTATTTGGCTTTGTAAGTAATTGTCTATGCCTGTGTGGCCTTGTTGAAAGATTTTTTTCAACCCATGAATAGAAAAACTCTTGAGGTTAGCTTAAGACACGCTTTCCAGTGCTAAACACCTCTGCAGCGAAGCAGCAGTCAAAAAGACAGCTACACCACAGAAATGTCTTGGTTAAAGAACTGTCATTTACAAGCCAATTTCTGCAACAGCCCCTTGACATGCTTCGTATTCAGTCAAAAAGAGGCCACGCTAGCACTGCTTGCTAGTGCAGCTGCTCTATGTGGTTGGGGTGGGGTTTTGTGGTTGGGGTCTTTCCTCAATGTAGTGCTTAAAAGGTTAAAATAAGAGTCTAGTTCGATCAAATGCACATTAAGGGTGAGGCAGGCTCTTCAATGAGAGGCTTCAAGCTGAAGCCATGTGGCATGCAGTGTGAGCTATACCTATTGGCACTGAGCCCGATGACTGACTTACTTTCACACAGCCTCCTCCGCAACCTGCCCCTGATCTTGTCAATGGCATTAAAGTCCGTCACATGGAAGACGTGTGCATTCTTTGGCTCGGCCGCAATCTCTTCCAGCTCTACCTTTAAAGCCTCCCCGATGCCAACAGCAAACATCCGGATGCCAGCTTTGGCAGCTTCCTTGGAGGGCTCAAGAACATAATCCTGGCTTCGGCCATCTGTGAGAAGGATGGCCACCTTCTGGATACCTCTGGCCGCCGGCCTTGCTCCGTTTCGCTCGGTGAAGATGTTGGCGGTGGTGTAGCTGATAGCATCACCAGTCATTGTATTTCCCCCCAGGTAGCGTATGTTACGGGCGGCTTGCTTCACATCCTCCAGGGTCCTGTGTTTACCCAGGTTGAACTCAGTGGTGGGTCTGTCACTGTAGCGCACCACGGCGACTCTCGTCTTGTCAGGGGCCACATCAAAAGACTCCACAATGTTGGCCACCCATTGCCGGATCTTCTCAAAATTGTCTTTTCCAACACTGGATGAGGTGTCCAGGATGAATGCTAAGTCATAGTGGACGTTTTTACATCCTGTCATAGGTAGATACAGAAAGATTTAGTCACATATAGACAAAAAAGCTCTTCCACTTCCACAGAGTATTCTATCTTATCTTAATGGTCTTACCTGCCCTCTGTGCTTCCACTGTCTCACCGGAAAGAGTCAAAACCAGGATGACAAAGACCAGGGTGATCCTTAATCCCAGTCGTAATTCCATCTCGGCCTAGCTTTCAATCTGTTTTTTTTTTAACTTATTACCACCATCAAGCTGTCCCAAGTCTGTGGAAACAACAATTCTTCATTACACATACTCTGACAAACACTACAGTCCAAAAGCCTACTTTTTAAAAACATAACTGAACTATATGACATTTAGGAGTCTAAATCCTGTGTGAAAAGTTGTCTCTTGAGATATATTTTTCACTAACTGTGAAACCAAAATTGGTGAAGTACTTCCTGTTGTGCAGGGAAATTGCTCTACAAAAGCAAGCCTCCTGCAGTGGCTGCTGCCACAGCTCTGTATTGACAGTGGGCTGGTGGCAAGCTGATTTAAGACAAGCACTTTATAGTTATAAAGAAATGTTAACTTTTTCTAGGAAACTATTTTTCTATCTAATACCCCCTTGTGTGTTATATTTCTTTTGTCCCCTGTTGGGATTTCTTTCTGCTACGGAAACTGGCAGGAAATGCTTTCCATTCTCAGGACGTGATAATTGAAACCTAAGACTGAAAAACACATCTCTCTAATCAGCAAGTGAATACTGCATTTAGAGGAACTGTGCAGAGCAAAGACTGTTGTAACTCATTGCCAAACTATGATTTTACCAACTCCGCACAAGAGAAGAAGTAAAAGAACAACACTGGGAGAGTGCATAGTGATGTTTTTCAATTTGGAGATCCTACAATTAAGGCAGCTTTGATTCTGCAGCATTTCTGCAGTTGATCTCTGTTGGATTCATTTATAAGGCTGTTGTGCCTCGCTGGCAATGACAGAAACCTGTCATATATACACAAAACTATTCTTGCTCTTAATGTACACAAGTGGTTGTGATGCCTGCCATTAGGGCTGATATGTGGCTAAGCATAGCCATAACATGGACTCATCCTGACTGGAAGAGTGTCTCATTGCGGGGGGTCACTGGGGGAGGCTGAGGAAAGTCTGAGTTGTGCACAACTTGGAAAGCAATTAGAAGAGCCTCCCCCTGTTCTGAGATTTTCTTTCCCATCATCTCCAATCTCGGTGTACCTTTACGAAGTCTGTAAATGTGTTCTGGGAAACATATTTCCTTTTTTTTTATATAGTTTAGAGACAATATTGAAACTTTTCTCATATCTACTTTTTAAGTAAGCCCAGCTTAGAATAAATTCTGTAAACCTGGGCAAAATCCTCAATTCTCTAGGAGGTAACATGTTAGACTATTTCTTGGCTGAGTGCAGTGACCCCAAGGATCACAGTGGTTCAGTAGCTGTAAAAGTTTATGCAACTTCTGTGTCAAACACATGATGCATGCTTACCCAAAAAAATATTTTCTTTCATCTAATATTGAGAAGAAAAGTGTCAGTAGAAAAATATATCTTAAAACAGTGCATGTATCTTTTGGGAATCGCCAATCTGCTGTTATGACTCCTTTTCTAACAAAACATTTAAGAACTCCATAAGAACAAGTTCATTTTATGATTCTGTGACATTCATGTGCTAAGGCTGGGGTTATTGTCAAAAAAGAAAAAGAAAAATTGGACCAATAAATATCAAATGTAAGTTAGCAAGATGGCTTGGAAAAATGTGTTTTTAAGTGGGAATAAGTGCGAGTAGAGAGATGTGTTTTTTATTATATATATTTGCATAGCAGGAGGTGCTAAGCTAGCCTATGTATCTCCTGTACAAAGCTTTGTATGACTCGAACTGACATGAGATGGTTTCACTTTTTATAACTCTTCCCATGACAGCTGTTCATTGTATTTCCTCATCATATGGAAAACAGCTAAGAAGTTGTCATCTTATTGTAGCATGTCGCTATATCATTAACTGATACAGACTGTGGGGATGTATTTCTCACACTTGCAATCTTTCTTTTATTGCAGTTTTTTTGTTGCAAAATTTACATTTACTTTATTACCACAGAAGTTATTGGAACCTTATGGCTTGAAGTAAAGTAAACAGAGGTGTAGTAAGGGTGAGTATGCAACTTAGAAATAGAAAGTGGTTTTAGCAGCAAATTATTTCAGGGAAAGGTTGTGGGGACAAATTTAGTAACAGCAGCTTGTTTATTGTGAGTTGGCCCTGTATAGCCTGTAAAATAGAGAGTGCATTATTTACAGTGGGTATTGCAAAGTGCTTGGCCCCCAGATACAAGTTTCCTTATCTGATTCTCCATTAGCCTATTTCTGCTACTTGGTTTCACTGGCGCTATTAATGAGCAGAATAGGCACGATAGCTCAATCACTCTAATTGCCCCAATTAGTGAGTATTTAAAATCTCAGAAATTCAGCCCAGCAAGACTTCAATGACGAAAAAAAAATCACAGCAACACTATGAAGGCAACTAAACAAGATTTGTATTCATGCTCCTAATCCTCTTTCCCCAAGTTTTGTACAAGTCGTTGCATTTTCTAATTTGTCTCCCTTTCATCTCTGATTACATTTCAACACACTGTATGGCTCTCCCACTGCTGCAGAGATAAAATCTCTGATTTAAAAAAAAAAAAAAAAAAAACTGTATCCAAGGTAAAGCTGAAAACAAGCTGGTTTATCTCTGTCAACATGGGAACCTGAGGCCAGATTCCTTACAAACTGTGGTTCATCAGTCCTGTTTCCACTTCCTCCTCTCAATGGTAGACCTGGGAATGCGATGTAGATGTGTATAACAGAAGCACTGCGTTTATCATTCCCGAAATGTCAAAAACAGAACATTTGCAACCCAGGAATAGGAAGGGGGAAAAAAAAGAGGAAGCCGGTTGTCTGATAAAGCATCTGAACAGCAAGTGCAGAAAAACAGCACCACTTGTCAACAATTCAAAACTGCTAAAGAATAAATAAGAATTTAAAGTCAGTTATTCAAGGACAGTTGCAATGACAGATGGATTTTCAAATTATATCTGTATTTTTTCTTACCTGGCCTGTCACTCAGTCAGTGTTACCAAGGTGTCTGTAAATTCTCCAGCACTTACACCTTGAATCAGCACCGGGGCAGCATCATTATCAGGTGATAATAATTCCAGATATCTCTCCTGCAGGTGGGTATTACAGTATAATCCAGAGTGACAATCCAGTGTACAATGTTTTTTGGAAAGTGAGGTGAGGTGAGCTTCAGAGACCTTGTGGATGGTTGGACTGAGTGGGAGGGAACTGCAAAGGGAGAAAGTGTTGGGTTTCACTCGTGGTTCTACCATTCTTAACTGGGCTGTGCTCACACATAAAAAAAAAAAAGGCTGTGAGGCGCAGCGGCCAATTATAGACCCAACATTCTGGATATTTTTGTCCCTTTTTTTCTCTTCTTTATGCTGCACCCATCTGAAGTGTTGCACTCAAAGAAAAAGCACATGCTTCTTGGCAACCACCTCAACTGTCCAGCCTTTGCCACTGCGAGAGCCACAGCGGAGCCGCCCTGGAGCTGGTGGTGGTGGTGGGCTGGGCCGCATTGGCTTCAAGCAGCCACACACTTATGGAGAAGGGGTGTATTTAAGTTGGAGAAATGATTACAGAACACTTGTGCTTACAGCTTTGTGTAAAATGTATGTCATCGCTCTGACTTCCAGCGAAGCTCTGTGATCTATATTACTCATGACGTGCTGTTGTGACAAGTTTACAATCATGTCTGCCCGCACGACTTTCATTTTTTCAAGTAGATTTTTAATGATTAACATATAAATTCAAGTTTTTTAAATCTTTTTTTGTTGTCAGTGGTTTCTTCTACTTTTAAACCATTTTCACATATGGTTTCCTGAAAATTAAAAAAAAAATGTAAGGACACACTGACCCTAAATTCTTCCTGAGTTGCTTTTTCACATATTTCCCTCACATGAAGTGAAGCTTTCCCTGTTTTACATCCCCATGATGTTAAAAAAAAAGGCGTGAGGGAATCCAAAATGGCAGACAAAGGTATGTTTGTTTTTTACCTTCAATCGGACATATTAACAGTATCAACGAATGAAAGGAAAAGAACACACTGGAGCAGAAAAGAGTATGAAGCTTTTTTTCTTACATTACACACCCATTGCCCGGTCGCTCAATGGTCACGAGACTTAAACGTCATCACCCATGCTCGTTTGCGGTGGATTTTCCGCAATGTTTCCTGATGTGTTCACACAGCTCAACCCAAATTTACAAAGGGTCTGGCAGGAAAAACTCGTTGCAAAGTCGCGGTGAAACATTTTGGTTTGCGTTCACCCCATAAGCTGTAAATATCAATAGACCATACCTGAGTGACATCACCCATCTGTTCCTGCAGGGGGCTTTGGAGTCCCATCGGTGGATGTCACCATGCTGGAAATCCTGTAACCCTAACTTTCACTCAACCTAACAACAGGCTGTGCCTCCTGGCTGTGCCTCCTGAATCGGAGGCATGTTTTAAGCCTTGGCAAACCGATACAGCATGCCTGCCTGTCATTGAGGTCAGCTACACGCCTTAATGTGTATAACACTTATCTTTCATAAAAATGAAATGGTTGAGGCCTATTTTGTTTTTGAACCAGGCTGTAAACATGTTCATTTCTGCTGTAAACATTTTTTAATCAGGTGTGTATGTGACTTCTGGTGATTCTGCTGCCAGCTTCAAGCCGACACTTGTCAAACTGCAGGATTTTGCACCTCCGCATTGGCTTCATTTTACAACACCAGGAGTCTGCACTTGGTTCACACGTAAATCTCACCCTGAAAATGTCTTTTAGTGCCTGTGTTAAAACACAATAAGCAAAACTAAGTCTTTTGTTTGACTGAACCTCAGACTTCCCATTCTAATTTTTGGTGTTTTCTATTTGCAAAGTCTCTATTTCATCATTAATTCTACTTTGTAGAGCTGTTTATTTATTCATAACAAGCAAACACAGACAAAACATGCAATGAAATGATTCATGAATGAAAAGCCAGTTTCCGTAATTCATGACGCAATTTCTTCTGACCTAACCTTTCGTCCTTGATGAGAAAAAGTCAGTAGTGTTTGCCAACCTGTAAATCTGCATGCCTCTTGATTTGATAAACACATTAAGAGGATGACTGTAA